TCTACAAGGCTTTCTCTCTTGTAACCTGTTTGTTTATGGCTTGAAAGCAGATAAAGTTTCTGTTCCTCAAATGTGTCAGTTTGGGTGTTCTGTCTCCTAGGGCATAGTGATGGCAACCAACAGTCTTTAGACTAACTTAGCAATTTTCTCTTCCTAATAGCTATACCTCTGCTCCCAGCTCCTTCAGATCCCTTTGGAAAGAAACAACCTTACTTAATAGTAGTTAGTTTTCAGGAAACATTCTAGTCCTTTCATCAGAATAGCAGGTCAAATCAGTATGAAAAATAATGGGTTATGGACCATTTTGAAAATTATTTTGTTCCAGTATCTCAAACTATGTCCAGTGTCACCTTAAGCAGGCATTTGATTTTACTCACTTCTGTAGTGTCTTTCCAACCTTTCTTCCCCTCTTTTCTACCAGCAATGTTATGTCCTGTTTGCCTGTTTTAGTCATCTTACTGACTTCATGTTGGAACAAAAATAAAGGCACGTTGAAACAGATACAGAAAATGAAAACTGATTTTATTAAATACTGATACATACTTATTTGACAGGCATTTAGTTACAAGGCCATAGTCACAAAGGTGACGCTGACAGCCACGTTCTGATTTCTTTCTCAGTAAGATAGCTGTTCACCTCAAAGGCACTTCCTCTGATATTGAGAGTACGTACTTTTATCGTAGTACTTAATTATTCCCTGGGATTTAAGGTGAAGTGGTGTCACTACTGCAATACATATTATTTGGACCCTAATTTCACCACTTCAGCTCACTATTTTTGCCAAAACAACAAACTGGACAGTCCTGATAAGACAGAAATGTGCAGTTTCAGAATACAAAAGATTTTATTCAGAGTTAATTAGAAAAACTAAAGCTATCTACGAAGGCTTATCGCTTACTATAATTGTACGACTGAAACAGTGAAGTTCAGAAAGAGTATCATTACTGGCTCTGTATCTAATCAGACATGCTCAAAATAAATGTATTGCAAAACAAGTATTCTGGTTTAAAACAACCTGAGCTGAAGCAACACCCTGACCAGCCTTGCGGTAGTGGTCCCTTTTTAGAGAACTGTTTACTAGACTTTTGCTCTCAATTACTTCAATTCTGGTTATTTCTAGGCAAGATTTCGTTGTGTCACAAGGCTTGGTGTTGAAAAGCCTCTTCTGTTTTATTCCTAACAGAAGTTGGAAGTAGCCAGGGTCAAAGTAGGGGGCCTGTCTCAGTAAGGCTACACAGATGTTCTGAGAGAAATGCATGTTTTGGAGATGAGATTTTCAGGCACCCCTGGAATGTTCCTGTCTTTTTTCTAAAATTTGGTAAAGTAAGTTTTCACCTATATGTCTTAACAGCCATGCATTCCAATAGCTTGATCTTGCAGCACCGTGGCTAGATCATCCAGATCAGAAACTGGTACTTCCAATACTATGATGGTGCAGCTTAAGAGCCACGGACAGAAATGATGGTAATGGTGTTGAACCGTCCAGGACTAAAACCATCAGGATTCTTTCCAGATTGTGGTGGTCAACATGATAAACTTAACATACTAAACTGTTTTGTTATCTTCAACAAATTCAGCCCTCTATAGAGGTCAGGTTCTGTTGCTAGCATCAAACTGACATAGAACTTAAGGTTAAACTTAATTGCACTATACTTCTGTATTTTTTATTATTATTATTATTATGGAGATGTTGGTTTTAACAGCTTCTCTTCCTTTAGAACAGATAGAACTAGTTATTTCTAGCCAGTTATCTCGTACTGTATTACCTAGAAGTAAGTGTCCTGGTAGCTTAAACATAAAAGTGCATGGAAGTATCCTCTCTGAAACTAATCTAGTCAGTCAGCTTTCCTGAAACTGTACTGAGTATTGTGAGGAAAAAAATTATTCATGCTAGACTTTGGTTATCTCAACAAGAACAAGCTGTGCCTTCATCCATATTGTCTTCTAGCCATACACAGACACTCTAAAGGTCACATAGTCTCATCTCAAACAAAACCAAACAAATAATATGATGTATCTTGCTTGCGTTTCTTTCCCACTGAGTGTCTTCAGACAGGCAACATCCTTCAGCTGTTCTGGCTAGTACAAAACAGCTGTGAAATAACGTTAGTTCTTCTGACATTTACTGGATGTTTCTTGCTGAGATCCAACTGTTAATCAGAAAGTCTACGCGTTGCAAGTTATCTACAGTGAATTCTGAATAACTTCTTAAAATGATGCTTCTGCCATATTAGTTGGAGTCTGTATGTGGTTTGTAAAGCTGAGGAAGTCTGGTTCCAGATAATTTAGGGCCTCCAGGCAAATATATGAAATTCAGAGAGGAGTTGGCTACACTTAATAACCAGGAGTCCTCAATGCTTCCCATTCATATTTGCACACATCCTTTCTCCTTCATAAATACTGTGAGTAGCGAAAAGATGTCAACAAAGACAGCAAGACTTCAGGCTTGCTGTTTATGCTGAGCATATGGAGCTGTTGAGCAGATCTGTAGCATTCGCTTATGTCCACTGGAACCCTAGGTGTAGGGATTTCTTACTTATTTTGTCAAAGAAACTCACTTAGGCTAAAGATTGTGGTTTTTGAGCAGCGTCACTTCACACTGCTTTCACTCCGTGAGGCACACACTTTTTTTTATACATTCAGACAGTTCCTAAATACTTTCAAGTGCAGTGATTACCATACCCCTCTATAGCACGGGTAGGACTCAGTCTGGAAAATATCTGTAGCCACTGCCAGTGACCTTCTGAAACCCCCACACTCGTTACTCTATTGCTGGAATGTTGTTAATGTCTCTTACAGTTGGTGTGGGAGAAAACTAAATCAACTTATTTGGAGTTGCATCCCTTCCCCTCCTATGAAGACACTAGAATTATCCTTGAAAACACCTTGTTCTTACAATGATACTCAGGGCTTTTATTGTTTTTGTGTCAGATTTTGTTGTTCTCTTAGTTCTTATCTTCCACTGAGCAGCTTTTTGTTTTCTTCTGTGGTAAGATAAGCTAATTTCAGGTTGTTAAGCTAATGAAGGTTGTTGACAATTGTATCAAAGCATTAAGAATGCTCCCTTTACCATTCAGTCCTCTCCTTTGGAAATTATTGCTTAGAAAAAAGTCAGCAGACTTTTTCTTCTACAGGTTTCCTTTTGTCCATTGGTAAAATCGGAATGTTTGTACTTAGGAACTTAGTTTTATTTTTAAAATGGTGGAAATGTACAGTTAAGGCTAATGAAAACCACCTTAATGCCAAATGCTTCTATATAAAGGAAATTCCTGATACGTTCCCGCATCGTCATGAATTCCTGGATGCTTTCAGGGGCTACTGAACCTGATTAAAATGATTATGGAAGTTTCTTAAAGTAAATATGGTATTTATTTGAAATTTCCGTTGTATCATACTACTTGAATGTCTGTTTGTTCTTACTACTTGGACTAGTTGAAAGACATTATAATGGTTATGAAGCATTCAGGCTCCATAATTGTATTTGAAGCAAATAGTTCATATTTTTTAAATAACAGTTTTTTTTCTCTTAACTAATTTGCTTTGTTCTTTTGATTTCTTTGAAATTGGCCCTGTTACTTCAGTAATTATTTTCTGACAGGAGTTTTCACCTGGGATACTCCATTTGCAAGGACACTGAGTAGAATGCTACTCAAAATCATTGAAGTAGGACTGTTTATAAATATGACAGATCCTCTTAAGGATGTTTTCAAAAGACATAATTTCCAGGGTGGGAGTGGTGGTTTCTGATTCTGATTTCTTTGTGAAAGCTGTAATAGTTATAGTTTTTCTTATCTAAATAGTATAATTTTTTTATCCTGTGATGTGTATGAAATAATGCAAATTTTTAATCATGAGTTATTTTTTCTTAAAATGAAATAGAGTCATAGAAATTGTTTGAATTGGATCTGTATGCATATTGAATGTTTCTTTCTGTTCAAGTCATGTAGCTTCTGTTGTTCATAGCAGAACTGATGGTAGTTTCTGAGACTTGTTTATGCAACTCTCAAACAAGCTGGGTACCTCCTGTTTAGTAGGATATACATTTGTCATCATTTTTATTAAATTCTACCAAAAAAAGTTGAAAATGGACTTCACCAAAACAGTTGGGTTTGGCTTGAGTATTTTGAGAAGATTGTTCCTGTGGACTTTGCAGACTTAATTTTGGGTTCAGTAAATTGTTCTGGAATTTAGTGAAATACTTAAGACAACTGTACCAATGACTGTAAATGGGAAAATACTGTTCTCTGAATTACTAGCTGAATCTATGGCTGAAGTCCATTCTTATGGTGTAGGGAACCTGCTTTGGCAGGGAGGTTGGACTCGATGATCTCTGGAGGTCCCTTCCAACCCCTATGATTCTGTGATTTGCAGGGAGGAGAAGGGCAAGACCCAGACTGAATTAGTATAGGAATATTTAATAGACCACTCTGTGTTTCAGTTATAAGTCTTCTTTCTGCTATGTGCTATGTGGAATCTGTTTGCAGTTATGAAGCTTTATTCTCTTTCAGACTAAGCTTCTTATGTGGTGACAGATTTCAAAAGAATGTATTTTGGTGTGTACTGTGACTGTGTATTATTCTCTTTACAAGTGACTAACTATAGAGTTTTTACACCTCTGTTATATAAAAACAGAGTAAGTCAGCAGTGACCTGCAAAGGTAATTGCTCAAATCTAGATAAATAATCTTATAATTATATACATCCCTTTTCTTTTTCCCAAGGGCATACGTACAGGAGTAATGAGTATTGGATGCCAAAATGTCAGGTATAAGTAGACTTCTTTGTGCAAATGAGAGATTATAATGAATTGGCATCAATTTTTCATACCACAGGATTGGCTCATTGAATTCCTGAGACACAATTCCCTCCAATGCTACTACTGGCAATGACTGTTTGAATAACTATGTTACATGTGCTTTGCTGAAATTTTCTAAAACTGATCTGTTATAATTGTTGTTTTGGGTTTTTTTCCTTCTCTCCTCTTTTCTCTTTTCTGTACAGGTGATTTCTATTCTCTGCTTTCCAAGCTGCTAGGAGAAAGGGAAGATGTTGTTCACGTGCATAAACAAAACCCTACAGAAAAGGCAGAATCAGATCTTGTAGCTGAGATTGCTAATGTAGTCCAAAAGAAGGACCTTGCCAGAGAGATCACAAATCATGAGAGGGACAGTACTGTTCTTGTCAGAGACAGAATTCACAAATTTCACAGACTAGAGTCTACCTTGAGGCCACCAGAAAACAAACAGTTTCCTTTACAACAGCCTAAGCATGCTGAGGGAAGCTGGGAAAAAGAAAATACAGGAGGTGGGTTAGGGGTTAATTTTATACAGTGAAATGCCATTTAAGAGCTGTGATCCACATTAGCAAATCTGAAGGGAATATCAGTTGATACTTTGAAGTATTTTATATAGCAGCTTTCCTAATTGTGGAAATGTTCTGCCTTATTTTAAGAGGGGTTTCATTGTTTTCTTTCCCCTCCATATGTGAAAAACAGTACTGGTACTGTTTGGATTGTTTTCCAGTTTAAAAGATTTTGTATCAATAATGCTAAAACTGGCTAAAACCAAAAGTACATGCTAATCACAGGGAGTGAGGAGTTTTCTTAATACAGTTAATTACTGTGAAGTAGTCACTGAGATAACTGCTGTACTTTAATTTTTTGGATTTATTTGGTTTGTCAGACACAAGATTTTTGAAATTCACTGCTGTAATTCTGTTGGCTGTTTTTTTCCCTCATTCCAAAAGAGTTGCAGTTAATGATGAAAAAGTCTTCAGAAGTAAAATATTCATTACAAATTGGCTTTGGCTATCCTAATATTTCTGCACAGGCTGTTGCATTATACTGGGATTACAATTAATTCCCTTCAGGTTTCCATGACAGCAGAAACCTTAGAAGTGTTGTGTTTGTTTTAGTTGCATTTTTGTCTGTGTGATTGTGCTTAGTTTTGCTAATGTGGAAAGCCAGATAATGCAGCATGTGATCAGTATCTTATTTAAAACAAAACAAAACAAAAACTGGTATGTATGCATGGAAGTCATCTGTATGCGTAAGTTGCAGCAGCACATGCTTGCTTTTATGTTGCAACCAACAAACTTGATGTTTCAAAGTACTGTTGTATACAATTATACATCATTCATTTGATTGTTTATTTCTATTCAAAATGTAGTGTTATGTGAGCTTTTGTTACAGTATTCAAATTCAGCACAGTTCTAGGTATGTATTAAATGGAAAGCCAAAGCTAGGGACTCTTATTTCAGTTGGTTAAATGAAAGCCTTGTCAAAGTATTAGCATAGAGGGCAAAAAAAAAAAAACCAACAGGATATTGTCACTTGCCTAACAAGTTAAATGTGATTCCATAAGCAACAGTGGAGTTCAATTATTGGAAGGGTAGCATGCATATATCTGCAAAACCATTTTGTTAACTTCAAAATGATCACATGTGATGTGCAGAAGGAAAAAGGCTTGGATAAGTCTTTGTTTTAACTGATTCAGGTGAAAGAGTGTCAGCGAAGTGAATAAATGCCTTATTCACAACACCATATTATGGCATTAATTCTGACTGTAGAAAGTGTTTTCTCTGATACTTTAGTTGCTCTGTATTTATCTGAGGGGAATATGTTGGCGGAGCACTAATAAATGCACTTCTAAAAGTTGCAATTCTGAGATAAAGCAAAACTGAAATGATGTTAGCGTTCTTTCCCATTGTTTCTTTCTGCTAATTACAGAAATTCTGAACAGCAGAAGCTGTCAGCGCCATCTTTTGGTAAAATATTTAGTGCAATAAAGTCTTTAATCACATCCAGACTTTTGGATCTATGTGTACTAGAAAACAGAGCCTTGCTTCTGTGACGGTTTTTTTACTCTAATAGAGAAAGAAGATTTAAGGCTTTAAGTTGTGATGATTTAATGAAAAGAAACATTGCACCCTTCATAAAACTGTTATATTGAATTTAAAAAATTCTGCTTGTTAGAAGACTGTGGCTTCTGCAAAATTACAACATCAATTTCATTTAACTGCTTAACCAGAATTGTAAAAATTTAATATTTTTAGTCTTGCCAAATATTCTATTTTTTTAACATGTGACTGATGTGAAATCTCTAGTGACCAGGTAAGTAAGGTTGTTGTAATTATTATGTCTATAAGCTTATGCCACTGCTGTTCCCGCACTGTTCTATCGTTACTGTGTGACTGTTCATTGGTCAGTCATGTTGTACTGGATCACTGCAACAGCACAATTGCATCTCCTAATTGTAGCTTACAGCATAATTTTCCAGTTTTAAAAACTCCTTTTAGAGCTCTTGTTTACATTTGTCAAAATGTAGATAAAAACTATGGTCACGGAGAGTAAATGAAGTGAATGAATAAAATTCATAAAGTTAAGATCTGCCAAGGGTTTACAGAGAGTAAGTTGTAATTTTACTGATAAATAGAGGCTTCACCCTTTCAATTCTAGGGAAATTAGAAGCCGATTTGCATTTTGGAAGTCTGTTTAATTCTTAATAATGTTACTGAATCAGAAGAATTGCCATTCAGATGTTCTGATCCTCAGTTTAGAAGTCACATTTACAACAAAACCACTGATTGTTGTATAGCTGTATTTTTAAGTTATTTTAATGGGTATAAGTCATTGCTTGGTTTCATACATAACTGGTTGTGGGTGCTTTTGTAGGGAATTAATAATAGTTTCAGATGTATGTGAATTTAGTATGCAAGCTTTTGTAAGAAAAGTGAGTTCCCTTTTGGATACACCTTTTTACGAGGGCTTCCTGTGTGAATCAAAGGAAAAAAAAAAAAAAAAACCATAATAAATGAATTTTGAAAAACTGTAAGAAAATGCAATTTCTTGTGATTAAGAATATTTAAAGTCATTTTCAACCTAAATGATTCTATTATTTTATTGGTTTTATCTATCAGCAATCTTTTAGCCTTTTAAAAAGGACAACAAAATTTTGTATTTTGCAGTACATGACTTTTGAGAAACTGAATTTTACAAAGACCAAAATGTATGTTTCTGTGTTTAGACTTGCAGATGTTCTAGATTTTTTTTTTTTTTTTTTTTTTGAAAAGTCTTAGTGATCAAGAAACATCAAAACATTAAACATGCATAAGTATGGGATGGACAAGTGGCACTGGATTTGCATCCTTTCATTCCTTCTGAAACCCTAGTGTCCTGTTTGAGGCGAGTGTACCTCGCGCTGTGCCTGCTGTTAATGATCAGTACTGTACAGAGGTGCTGTGGATTTTTTGAATGTGTGTAATTTTTTTCTTCACAGTTCTTTTAGCTTGAAGCTTTTTTTTTCTAGACTAAAACTACTACAGATTAGGATATAATTTGTTTCAGAATTTCATGGTTGATTGTGTTCACAGCAGATGATGACTGTCTTAGATTTGCCTTAGTTTCTCTGTAACCTACTCTGTTATCTAAAGCTGCAAAGATAAAATTGCAATAAATATCAAGATATGTTTGTAAAGGTAAAATATATGTCTTAGTTAGGTTTCAGCACTATTTTTCTCTTTTCCTGGAGTAGATTGTAGAAGGTTGTTTTCTGTCCTCTGCACCTCTTCACAGTATTAAGGGAAGTGGGGGTTATGGTTGTCGGGTTGAAGAGGTTGAGGTTTGTGTCCCATCTCATTTTTTCTTTCATAATGCAGCAGCAATGCAAACCAACCTCTTGGATTTCATATTAAGCACTTTATCTGTGAGAAATTAATTTTCTTAGTCAACACTCTGCAATTTTTCCAAATTTTTTTCTGCCTTTAATCACTCAATTTTTACATACAACATAGGTTAAAGCAAACTTCTTTTTATATTTCTAATTTTAATCTTAGTTATAGCTATGTTTTTCTTTCTTCTTCACTGGGGAGTTTTACAATTTAAGACAAGTGCAGGAAGTATCCTACTTGTTAGCAGTGTTCACTTGCTTAATTCCTGTACTTTTGATTTAGTATGAAGATCAGTTTTGTGTTACTTAAAAACTGCTCTGCATTTGTTCTTAAACAGTGTCCTATTTCATAAACAGTGATAGATATTATGCCCTCTGTTTCTTTCATCAAACTTAGATATCCGTTTCCTCTTCATGCCTGTAATGTACATTAAAAATATTTATGTACTATAATATATATATAATTTTATATAATGATTAACAGTCGTGTGTTTCTGTAATCGATCAGTGTTAGAAAGTATTTACAGAGCTCCTCAGACATATAGAATCTGTGTAGCTATATGCTTATAAGGCACAGAAGAATGAAGTCAGTAGAAGTCTTGAAATGTCTGTGTTCCTGCAAATAACGGATACCAGTGTTTGTGCATGCTTTACTGCAATAAAATTATGCTTGGAATTGAATTGCAGTGTTTTCATGAAAATTATGCATGTAAGGTAATATTCATACAATATCAAACACTCCTGTTTACCAATTTTATGTTTTGTTTTGTTTTTGTTTTTATAAATACACTGCATTAATGTCTTTTGTTTCTTTGATCAGATTTCCACATAGAAGAGGCTACGGAGTGGCCAGGGTTAGACCTCAAACTAGGCCAAGTTTCTGGTTTGGCTCTGGACCCTGAGAACAACCTAGTTATCTTCCACAGAGGTGATCATGTTTGGGATGAAAAGTAAGTAGATCCTTTGCAGAATTACATGTTAAAAGATCAAATTGGTGTATGCTGTTTGAGTGTCTTTTTGAAGAAACAAAGTAGATCCTTTTCTATTTAAGATTCAGCTCTTTGTACAGATCCTTTGCTACTTAAAATTCAACTCTTTGGCTGAAAGTGCCTTGAGGAGACTCAGAGCTTGTGACTGACAGGTGTCATTGATGGGGTTGCTAGAGCTTTGGACAATAAGAACATTTCTCTAAGGATTAAGAGCATTGTACATTTGGTTCCAAAACTGCATGCCCTAATTAGTGTGATCTTAATTATTCCTGCTTCTCCATGTTGTTGTCTGGATTAACTAGCCTGGAAGAATTATATTTTAGTAAGATTTACTAAATGTAGAGCTAGTTTTGGTTCATCTGGATTGAGTGCATCTGTCTCTATATCCACTGGTGCCAAAAAAAATTGATTGTTAAAGAGAACATGCTCAGAACATTTTTTCATTACTGACTTAATTAAAAACTAGCGTAATCTCAAAAAGAGAAGAAAAGCCATTCTTTCAGTGTTTAATACACCCAAAAATACATAATCTAAGGACAGAACATTCCAAATAGAGTATGGTGGCCCTGTTTATATAATGCTGTCTTTCACTTTTATTTTTATTTATAGTTTAGGAATCCCTGCGAAACCTTTACACCATTATCAGTGAATTCTAGAGTTTGACATTGGACACTGCGTGGAAAAAGTCAGCTTCAAAGAATTATTGTATCTGCTAGCTAAGCACTTCATTCGATATTGTTAGGTTTCCTTTTGCAAATGAAGTGCATTCATTTTTAGTTCATCTTCTTATGACTTATTATTTCTGCTGCTTCTTTATTGTCCCTATCAGTTACCATGTTTCAAAGTTCAGAGGCCTAATGTAATCAATACTCCTTTGTGTAATAATTGTGTCATTCCTGTCGCTTTTAGATGTGGAGGATAAGAAATTAACTCAGAAGTTAATGTATTTAGTAGGAAATACATAGGTAATTGAGTATATATTTTTCTTTGCAAATCTTAAACATGATCAATTGAACCTGAAAGCTCAGAATTTTTCTATTTTAGTGCATAGTACAGGAACAAATTTAAAAAAAAAAAAAAGAATCTGTGCTATTAGAAACTGTGCAAGTGTTTCCAATGCGTTATTAATATATGCCATAAAAGCTGGATTCTTGATCAACTAAATATAGCTGAATGAATGCTTTGTGCTGTGTTGTAAGTCAGCCTTAGTCTGCTTTTGGAGCACAGTTATGCAATGTCAAGTCCTGTAATATAGTAGCAGCTTTTTCAGTGGCTCTTAGCTCTTTCTTGGCATAGTTTAAAAAATAAAATAATAATAATTCCTTTAAATTATTCATGTTCTCTTACCACATACTGTTTTCAGTTTAGTCTTTCATGCTGTGTGTGCAGTGTGCAAAAAGATGGAACTATTCACCTGGTTGAGCAATTAATCATTTGAAAGCTTTTGGTTTTCATGATGAAAAAAGATTGACTGTGAGTAAATGATAGAAAAAAATAAAGAATATAGAATCTTTCTTGAACGTTTATTGCATTCCTGACAAGGTAGTTAGATTTAATTTAGTCTGGATATTGACTAAGAATAGAGCTCTACATTGTACTTTCAAGGGTTATGAGGTCAGGTGATCTGTCTAAGCTTAATACATAGCATGCCAGAAAGGCACTAGGTGTGGTACTAAATTGTTTATGTTAGTATGAAGCGTCCAGCTGAGAAGCAGAAAAATAGCTGTGAAATTGGAGTTTGAAGTTAGAAGTTGTGACATTCAGCATATTTTAGTTGTCTTTTGATATGAAACTGCAGAATCTACCAGAAAACAATGATGGGAGCAGAGCAATATAATGTTTAACAATAAGGTGTTCTTTTGTTTGTTTGTTTTTTTTTTAATATTTTTTTATTCCCATTTATCAAATAAAAAAGAAATGCTGACTACCTTGTAAAATGGTCTTAAGCCCTAGGAAGAGTGGCTCTGTAGCACACTAGTCTAACTCCTAGAGAAGAATATTTTACAGGGAGAAGATGCAAGAAATTCCATTCCATATCCTCATTTCAGTGTTCACTAAGCTTCCTTTGCTGAAAATACTGTACAGTCTCATATTTATGCTGAAACCACTCATTTCCCAGAAGAGCTGAGTAGTTATTAACAGGGAAAGCTTAGAATTCTGGGCAGGGCTGTTTCTAGGATCCAGAATAATAATCAGGAAAGTTGATAGTTTTTTAAACTGTCTAACTAGTCAGTTAGAGATGGAATCTTTGTTTCTTCTTGTTGTTGCTGTTGTTTTCATGGAATGCATACCCTCACTAAGATTCTCTTCTGTGATTAGCTGTGCTGATTAATACTAATAGTGTCCATTGAGCTTGACCTTCAGCTGTTTTCACTTGTATCCATTAATGTGGGCGTAACTAACACATTTTAGCAAAGTTAAACAGGTAGCAAACATCCATCATGCAGCTGTGGAAGGCAGGAGTAAGATTGTTGGCCCCAAACCTACGTCTTTGCATTCATACATAAAGATATAACGTTAGCCAAGTATCTTAGAAACTGCTGTGCTGCTGCCAAGCATTAGCTCTGTCTGTCCAGTGTTGCTTTTCCAGTGGTCTTCTACGCCTGCAACAAAGTCTTAGGAGTATCGGGACCTTGGGCCCCTGCCATTTACTGAAGTTAGCCAATGTGAGTTGGGCCTTTTTGGGAGACTTTGTGGGTTTGTTCTTTTTATTTTTTTCTTTAACCTGGAGTGTTGTATGTGAAGTTGATAAAGGGACTGGGATATACCCTTCTGTGAGGCAGCTGGGAAGGCTGGAGATCTCGTCAATGTCTATAAATGCCTGAATAGAGAGTGCAAAAGGGACAGAGCCAAGCTCTGTTCTGTGGTGCCCAGCAGCTGGACAAGAGGCCGTGGGCACAAACTGGAGCACAAGAGGTTCACTCAGATCGTCAGGAAGCACATATGTGCTGTGTGGGTGGTGGAGCGCTGGTACAGGTCCAGGCTGTGGGGCCTGGAGACCTTCAGAAGCTGCCTGAACATGGGCACAGGCACCCTGCACTGTGTGGCCTTTCCGGAACAGCTGTTGGACCAAAAGATGCAGAGGACCATGCCAACCTCAAATATCCTGTGATTCTGTGCATTTCAACATAGTGTCTTGGCAAAGTGTTCAGGAAGGGCTCTGCAGAGAGTTCTAGTAACATTTTGTTCATGATCATTTCCAGCTAACAGGATATATTGATTTTTGTCAGCAGATAAATAAGTAGCAACAGATAGTCAGCGTACATAAAGATGATATCTAAACACTATTTTTTTTTTTTTTAATCCTCGTCTATGTATAAACTTGAATGCATTATTTTACAGGTTTTTCTGGTTACAAATGAAGCTGGTGTTGCTTTTCCACAATAAAAATTCTAGACATATGAATTTTTAATATTTCGGAGAGACTAGGCTGTTAGGACTATGGAATTTAAAGCCTTAATAGCTATATTCATTATCTTGTCTGTGACTACAAAATATATTCTTGTTTACCAAGTTGCATCAGTCATGTCTGGGTTTTTCTTAGGGCGATTAAAAATGGTCTTAAAAATATAAGGCAGGAGGGCAGAGCACGTCATTTATTAACATTTTTTATCCATAATCTAGTACCATTTTTTAACATTTATATCTAAATTTTGTTGATAGAATTTTAATGAAGGTTAACAGAGCATCTGAAGGCTGAATGCATTCAATTTGAAGTGTTGAAGGAATAGCCAGCTTCTCTGTAGGAATACAAAAAGCTGATTATTATTTTCTTTACGCATCGTATGGTAGTTTTATGTCTGGAACATTAATCAGTTCTGGTTTTTAATGTCCGGAGTACATAATAATGTTATAACTGTTTAAATAATTTTTTTATTAATAAATTCCATTTACTTTGAAAATTGTGCGTGGAGCTTTGCAGGTAAGATATATATGTATGTATACATTACACTGGTTCATTCTGGTAATTATGCCCTGGTGATTTACTGTGTTTGTACTTAGACTGCATTGTTTTTATTTGCCATGGCAAAGAAAAAAGAAAAAAGAAAAAACAACAAAGCCCAATAACAATAAAAAAAACTCAGAAGGCTTTTTGGTTTGCCAGCTTGCTCTAGAATTATCTTTAGTTGTTGCTGAGTTGGTTGTTTGCTCCTTGAATTAGGATGTCGTAACCTTAGTAGGAAATGCAGATATCCTAAATTAGAACTCCTAGGATCATAAAATAATAAAATAAGACAACAATAATACAGTGAGAAAATAAAAATTCAAAAAAGTCAAGTAACCCGCACTGGAATTAAAATACAAAACCTGACTTTAAGTTTTGTGTTTACTGGTCGCCACTGGACTGTTCTAATACTGGCTTTGTATTCCAATGTTTTTGTTTAGTTCTTTCGACAGCAAATTTGTTTATCAACAAAGAGGACTTGGACCGATCGAGCAAAACACAATTCTTGTTCTGAATCCAAGTAACGCAAAGCTGCTGCGTTCCACAGGCAGAAATCTGTAAGTTTTGTGGTTTGTGTGGATTTTGTTGCCCTTACTAATAGAACTACTAACATTTCCATATATTTGAGTCCCAAAAGTTGCCAACCCATTTTCACATGCTTGTTTTGTATTGCATTGTGTGATTGTAACCTCTTGAGTTTCTTAAACAACAGAAAAATCAGCAAATAATCTAATCGTTTACCTTCTTTATTACATCTGCTTTCTACCAATTTATTTCATTTAACCTACCAGACAGATTAGCAGAAATGCAGTGTTGTTTGTTTTCTTTAAAGTCATCAAATGTTAGCCTGACTGAGAATGCAGAGATAAAGTGACTTCCAGATTTGAGACATCCTTGTAAAGAAAATTCTGTACTGCTAGATAAATATTTTTCTTTTTTGTGAAATGCCAACAAGTTATTAGTAGAGCAGTACTTTATCAATTTTTTTTTAGTGTATTGCTATTTCATGATTAAAAAATGAAATCTGCAAATCTACATCATTATTCTCAGAAGAAGATTTTAGCTTGATTCTTCTGTATTTATGCTTGCAGATTTTATCTACCTCATGGCTTGAGTGTAGATAAAGATGGTAACTACTGGGTCACTGATGTAGCTCTCCATCAGGTACGTTTGTGAAGCTGTAATAACTGAACATTAGTATTTTGCCATTATTGTTTGTTTGCTTTCTGTGAGATTTATGTGAACTTATGATATAAGCTATTTATATAAGGTCAGTTGATATATATATAAAATAAAATAAATAAATAAAAATATATTTATATAAGGTCTGTTAAGACAAACATTAAGAATGTGCCCACAGAAATAGATCCCTTTGACCTTCATGGAATATAGTTGTGTGTGGGGTAACTTGAGTGTAGTATTCAGAAGTGGAAATACCCGTTTTTAAAAAGTGATTCTTTCAAAAGAAGGCAGCTTTTTCTGCTAAATATTTGCTAATCAGCTTTCTTGTGAACTCTAACTCGGAATGGCAACTGTTTTGTTTGCTGTACTCATGGGAAATTTGTGTTTAAAAAATTTCTCAGAATCAAAACTATTATAAAGCTGATGGTAGATGTCATAATCAGAACGTTAAGGTTGTATTTAGTATATGCAGTTACTTTATGCAGAATAATACATATACTTTCTATTGGCAGTTCTCCCTCTTTTTATTTCACCCTCCATAGTTGAAACCTCTTCTCTTTTCCCTTTGGCTAAAAAGGTTTTCAAACTGGGTGTGGATGCAAAAGAACCGTTGCTGATCCTTGGAGTAGCTCTGCAGCCAGGCAGTGACAGCAGTCATTTCTGCCAACCAACCGATGTGGCTGTGGATCCGGTCACTGGCAGCATTTATGTGTCTGATGGCTACTGCAACAGCCGCGTCATTCAGTTCTCTCCAAATGGATTGTACATCATGCAGTGGGGAGAAGGTTAGAATGCTTGGTACTGCTGTCATCAATTCATGTTGTCATGAACTGTGAAACTGCTGGCATTGTTACTCTCATCTAAGAAAAAGAAAAAAATTGTAAGGTTCTGTTACCATCATATGTTGGAGGCCTCAGTTGATTTTTTTTTTTTTTTTTTTTTTTCCTTTATCATTGGGTTCCAGTTTTCTCCTATTTATTCCACTGTGGAATTGTGTTGTTGTGGGTATCTGTATTTTTACTAAATACAGCAGCCTGTTAGCACGTATTTAGCATAAGTGTTGGTGTGTCTTTTTGTATCAATGAAATGTTCTGACTTTCAAAAAAAAATAAGCATCTTTTTTATAAGAATTTGATCAAATTGCTTAAGCCTTCACCATTTCTCTAAGACTTGTGACATTATCTCACCCATTTTAAGTTACATTTCAGCCTGACTGAGGAATCAGAGTAAGGTTTACCAAATATTGTAGAGGAATAGATACGGATTTGGATTTTACAAAGTTAATATGAAAGATAATCACATCTTCCCTAAATGAGTAAAACTACTTGAAGAATGGAATAATGCTTCTTCTTTTCCCAGTGCTTTGTTGCATTATGTGAAATATTATTAGAAACAAAGCTGACAGTTTCATTGTGTACCTCAACAGATGTTGTGGATATTTTGTTTTGCAGAGACTTCAGGCAAAGCCGGACCTGGACAGTTTCACATCCCTCACAGCTTAGCTCTGATCCCTGAATTGAGTCAGCTTTGTGTTGCAGACAGGGAAAATGGTCGAATTCAGTGCTTCAGGTTAGAAACTGGGGAGTTTGTAAGAGAGATAAAGCACAAATCATTTGGAAGAGAGTTGTTTGCTGTTTCATATTCTCCAGGTAATTCTTTTTCCTGTTCTTGAGATTTCAGGTAGTAGTTGTAGGATTGCCAATATGTCACAATACGTAAAATAATATTTTATAGAGTTCTATTGTGTATCTTCAGCCAGATATTTATTCTCTTTCAAGGTGGTGTTGATGTAATGGAAAATTTTAGAGCTGTCTGTTTTTCCAATTTGCAGGAAGGGAAGCTTGCATAAATCTCTGCTGCTGAGAAATGACTGATTAGGCTCCCTAAATGTGATGTCAACAAGTAGATTATACTGTTTGCATCCTGGTGACTGCACAGTCAATAATTCGTTAGAAATTATGTTTTAAAATATTCATTTCAAGCTCCATTAAGAAGAGCAAACTATAGAGCTTCCAAGCCATCAAGAAAAGTGTTGAGTTTCTTAAAACAAAAAATCTGAAAGCAAATAGTTCTAATTTAAAAGTTGTAGGATTTACTGTTGAAATTTGATGAAATTTGATGAAATACAATTACTGTATTAAGGTTTTCAATCAGATTATTAAAACCAATACCAAAAGTAGTAGAAATATTAAGAACTGGACTAGGAATTTTGGAATGTCTGACCCCTGACTCTCTAGTTGATATCAGATTTAATACTGAGTTTATCTCTGTTTCATTTTCCAAGAATTTAACAAATGCTGTTCAAGTTGAGATACTCGATGTGTAAAGCCCACTGCTGTTTCTGGCAGTGGCAGCAGGAGATGTGTTCTAGCGAGGGAGTGCAAGTCAACTGCATTTTGCAGTCTGCTCCTCTTTTTCTCCCCACACACCCACAGCTACTTTGTCTTAAATGTGGTAGGTGATGACTTTTGACTTTGTATTCATAGTCTCTATCTATAAACCTGTTGCCCATGAGTTTTTCTAATAGTTTTTTGGGATGCAGACAGTTAACCATCACTCAGTATTCAACATGTGGGCATGACTTCTTACCTAGTGGCAAACTTGTCCTCCTTTACTAATGTTCTTCCTGTTGTTGCTTAACATTCTTTTGAAACTGACTGCCGCTGCACATGCTGCCAAAGATTTCAGAGACCTTTTGTGGTTGCTCTTTGATCTTGAGCTGTCACTATGAGTTCCAATCAAAGCTTCACGTATATAAGATCTAGATATTTTTTTTTTTTCTCATAGCAGCAACACCCTGCAGTTGCCTTTGAAGCTCTTCTGCCATCTGTTTGACAATTCAATAAAAAGTCTTTCTGGATGCTTTTCATATCAACACATAACCATTGCACAGAATTCAGTATCTTTCTCAGTCTGGAAGCGTGGCTGTTAACAGAGCTAGATGACACAGTTTGGCTTGAGTTACTTAATTTCACATTTGACTTCCTTCTTAACTTCAATAGATGGCATCCATGCCTAGAGTCTTTCTAACCTCCAACTTTTCTAAAGCTTTTTATATATCTCCTTGAAGTTGAACTGGATTCTCTGCATCTTGGGTACAAAAGAAATTGTGTGTCAGAATCCCCCCAGCATACTCAGCAGTGAGAAGTAACCAGTATTGAGCTTCCTTTTTCACATCCTTGCGGTCCCACTGGTTGCCTTTTTGATTCTCTGTTTAAAAGTTTTTATTGCCAGAGAAAACATCCATATTAAAGCATGGTTTCTATTTTTTCAACTCTTCTACATTCCTGCTTTTGTTTGCCCAATCTGTAAAATAGTGTTCTTCATTCTTGTCATTTGTACATTTCCAGTTCTTAAATGATAAAATTTTGCCCATTGACACCTTACTTAACTTCTCTATTGTTGCTTAGTTTCCTGTTGAGTTACCTCTGTCTCTGCCAGCCTGACAGGTTTTTTCATGTATACTATCTATTATTATTGATCTGCTCTGTAGTTTGCAGTGTGTGGGTTGTTACAGAAAATCCAATGTTGTTGCAGGTGGTCTGCTCTTTGCAGTTAATGGAATGCCTTATCCTGGAGAGTCAGAACCAGTGCAAGGATTTGTGATGAACTTCTCTACTGGAGAGATAATTGATAGTTTCATTCCACTTAGAAAGGTAGAGTATTGTACAGAGTTCCTGGTGTATACTTACATTCAGGAGATTGTTGACAATGTTCTACTTCTGCAACTTATGGAAGATTATTATGTTATTATTGTAGAAAATGTGTTGTTTCCAAATGTATGATTTTTCAAAGGAGTTTTTCGTAATAAGCTTGGTAAGGAAGCTGAATTATCAGGTCACACTCAAAAATTATACTACCTTCAATGTAATCTCTTTGGTCAACACCATCAGTTAAGATAAGTTTAATTTATAGCTGGCAGAAAGTTATTAAAACAAATATAAAAGAAAAATAAAGGTCCAGAAGTATTCATACAGTTACATGCTAGTAATATGTCTGAAAGAAAATGGTTTTCCTAAGCAGAAATAAAATTGAACATGGTTCATGGTTGCTTCCTCCCTTTGCAAAAGATTAGTGTAAAGACTAAATGGCATTTATACAGTATTATGAAAAATTAAAGTAAAACTGTTGATTGTAGATCACCTTAGACTAAAGAATGAATGTCAAGATTCCCATTTGTGATTGGCATATACACTCTGATTTGCAGTCCAGTTTCAAGTGATGCTAGAGAGAGAGATTTATTCCTGAGTATAGCAAATTGTTGTGCTGCCTACAGACTCTAACAAATACTGAATGTGTGGACTTGTAACTAGGATTCATTATTTCTGAATAAACACACATAGGAAATTCTGTCATAACATTAGCACATCAGTAGTCCTTCTGAGGATTTTTTTATCCAATGGCTTTCAGCAATGTGTTCATTTATAATTGCCAAAGTATTTTCATTATTGTCTTGAGAATCAATGTGTATTAGATTGTTTCAAGTATTTGTGCAGTTACAGATTCTTGGGAAAAAATTGCTGTGTACATGAATTTTGTCTCCAGGCAATAAACAGGTACACAGCTTTCATAATTTGATCCAAGATCAGTCTTAACTTGATCCAAGGTCTTTCACCTAGGAATATCTTGAGTGAAATAAATGAAAATTCTGCAGATTGAGTCTTGAAATACTTTTGAGTTGTTTTTATGCTTTTATAAAATTTTATATGCACAAGTAAAATAGACACACTTCTTCATCTGGGAAAAATTTCACTAGGATTTTTACGAAAAACAAAAGTAATGAAAACTGTCTTATTAATATTTAGAAAGGATGACTATACTGAATTTTTTAGTATTTATTATCTGTACTCCTAATTACTTCCTTTCCATTTGGCTTATGAGAAACTTTACCCATAAAGAAATGTGATTTAGGATGAAAGTGATGATTGTTTTTCTGGTTTTGTATGTTTTTGGTGGTGGTTGGTTTGGTGATTTTTTATTTTTTTTATTTTTTTTTTTTTATTTTTTTTGAAAGCAAGAGGGGTGGTTCTTTCTTTTATAAACAGTTCTTTGTGTTAGCAATGTGTAAAGGATGTAGTTTTCAGTCCTGAGATCTAAAATAGAACACTTAACAGAATTTGACCTGATAAATAATTCACCATATTCAGTTTTCCAGGCTACTCACTAGAAGAAGAAATTCTTAATATGGCAGCCCTACTTGTCAGGAAAGTAGTTCTAGATTAAGTCAAAGCCTGCTGCTGCAGGTATCCCTAAGTCATGAGTAAAAGAAATGATACGTTTAGAATCTTCTTTTAGGGAGGAATCTGTAACTCCCCGTGTCCACACAAGTACAGTAAATGTCCAGGAAAGCATTTAGGAAAGAACAGCATGTGCTTCTACAAAAACGCTGCCTTATCCCAGTTTTTATTCCAGGTTCTTTGATTTCTCAGGGCTAGGAGAGTGAGCTGCCATTTACTCCTAAAATGTTTTATTCTTGGGAGCAGTAATAATAGCTGGGAAGAGACATACATTAAAAACAGTGCCTGATAACTTTTAGTTCTTCTCTGGTATATAAATTATAAGTTGCAGATGGAGTAGGTGTTCCCTTGGAATGTACTCAGCACTGTGGCAGCTTATTGCTTCTCCTTGAAGTTCTTCATTTAGTTCTTCATTTCTTCATAGTCTGCAGAAACCAAGAACAATAATTCAGGTCAAAAAGTTAATTTGAAGTCGAAAGCCGTGTGGAAGAGCCCATTCTGGGGAGAGTTAATATCTTTGGCACTGTTTGTTTCCCTGCCTCTTATTTTTATCTTCACTTAAACAGATCAGCACTTGTGTCTCACACTTGTCTGTACATCTTATGGTTATGACTGAGAGGCCATTCCTATTTTGAGATAACAATGTATGATAATAAGCAGTATCATCTTTTAATAATCATTCTAAACAATAGTTCAAATCTTTTTATGTATTTTGATATGTCTCCTGATCTGTTTTATATATATATTATTTTATATAATATGACTGTATGTAGTGTGCTCACTAAAACCATACATATTGACTGGTAAACTATGGTTTTTCCATTCATCACACTCCTAACTTGTAAAATGGGATCCTATTTCAGGTGTTACTAACATTAAACCTGTAAGCAATGATACAGTAGTAGAGCATGCCATCATGCTTCCTCGAAAAAGGAACCACTTAGCCCAGATTTTCCTAGGCTTCTTGGAGAATGAGTGATCTAGTGCCAGTGCTTAAAGCTGCTAATGGAATGTGTACATGCTGATATGTTTTCTCTGGAGAATCTGTGCTTAGGAACATTGAGGTTGCTTTCCTTGATTAAAAAATAAGAAATGTAAGTTTGCACTGGGGGTAGCCACATAGCACTATCCAAAATGTCCACCTTTAGTAAACTACATTTCAATACCACTACCGTTCATAGCTATATGTGCAGTATGTATCTCATATTTCACTGGATAAAACTGAATGCTGAAATATGAATAGGAATTGTTAAGCATTAATGTATCTGATACTCTCCGTGACGTTATCCCTGGAGAAGGCAAGTGAACAATAGAGGTGTAATTCCTTTCCTTTCACTTGCATTAGATCTGCAGTATTTTCTGGTCTAAGAACTAGATACGACCATTCTCGGGCTTTAGAGTGAAAAAGGCCTCATGAACGTGTAGGCACTGAAGAGTAATCTGTTGCTGCTTATTTTCACAGAGCTTTGAGATGCCACATGATATTGTTGCTTCAGAAGATAAAACAGTATTTGTTGGAGATGTTCATGCCAGAACAGTGTGGAAGTTTGCATCCACAGAAAGTATGTTCTTTTTGTTCTTAATGTCACATCCTGACATTTCGTGTTTTCACCTCTGTTATCTGTTACTGGTTTAATCACAGTGATTTCAGTACACAAAATATTCTACCTGCAGAAGGTCTGTTACAAAAACAGCATTACTGTACGTTCTGACAAAGGGGAGTCCTGTGTATATGAGAACATATCAAAATGCATTTGCCTCATGGTAGATCTGTCTCTAGTTACATCAGTGCATGCTTACACAAAAGTATAACTTTTTAGCATTTTGTTTGTTTTTGTGTGTCATATGCTGAAGTCCACTGCTTCCTTTGGAAACTTTCTGGGGCTGAAATGAAATCATGAATCAGCCTTAAACTTCTTTTCATTTGTTTGGGAATAATTATCCTTGGAAAATGAATGTAGCATCCTTTGAATTTCTATTCCTATCAAGTAGAAATATTTTCCAATTTTAATCTAGTAACCCCCAAGGTTAGATATCAGGGAGAGAAGCCTAATTAGTCAGATATCAGTTTAGTAGGATTCAGAGAAGAGAATAAATGGAGTAAGGATATATAAGGATAATGAATAAACTTCAAGACAAGAAAAATATGAAATACCATATACCAATAAAAATATACCATCAAGTCATCTCAGATTAAAAAAAAATATATGAGAGAGAGAAAGTCTCAGGCCTCAGGATGTTAGGCAACCAACAACAGCCTGCTGTTATAAATGAACTTCTGACTAAGCCAATTACTCCACATTTGTCTGTTCATAATTCACGGATTTTCCTATGAGGCATTTGATATCAGCTGCTGTTAGTAAAAGGAAATGGAACCAGATAAATTTTAGTCTGAATGGATGTACCTTCTTTTCTGCATCTGGTTACCTGAACAAGAGCACTTATAGTCCTATTCAAAGAAATCTGAGAATAAGAACAAATTGATTTCTTCATCACTTATGCATTCAGAGAGAAAAGTCCTTATTTTCTTTTTGGCTGAAACTGCAGTACAGCACTGCAGTAGCTAAGGAGTTCTGGTTCAACCTATCTTTAATCTGTCATAGTTTGTGTTATAATTGGCAGTGCTAGTCTTTGTAGGGCCTCCTGGAAGCCTTGCACATATCCATAAAGCATAAGAATTAATTATTGCAAATGCTTTTTATGAATCAAGGTCTCTTCTTTTTTAAGGCCTTGTGTGCTGCTGAATAGTTTATTTTGACTCTACTTTCTGAAGTTCAGATGCTAATGGGATTGTTTACTATAGGGTTGTACTGTACATTTGAGAAAGCGAGCAGGAAAATGTCACTGAGTGTCCTTCTGAAATGTCAGTTGTCCTGAAGAATGATTTTGTTTTACAGAAATGGAACATCGGTCAGTTAAAAAGGCTGGTATTGAGGTGCAGGAAATAAAAGGTTAGTCTGATCCTGAATGGAAATGAAGGAATGACAGTTTTCGTATAGACTCTTTCCATTTCTGCCAAACTGGTGTAAAAATAATTGCAAACTAGTTTTTTCACCACCATTTCATACATAATATTCATTGATAAAATGAATAGCACAGAAATTAAGAGAAAGCAGCTTATAACCATGTTACTTAGTAGGCACTAACTCGCACAGATCAGTAATGGCATGTGCTTTGCAAGTATGAAAAATAGATAAAAATTTAACAAGGGGTTTAGTTTCATATCACTGTCTGCCTTGGTCCAGATTGGCATCTGTGGGTGCAGAAATAGCTCTGAAATAATGGTGCTCCCACAGCCTTCTCCTTATTCTATCATTCTCAACCAACAAAGAAGGTTTTTTTGGGACAGCAGTTGGTTCATCTTTCTGCACAGTCTTTCAACATGTAATCTCCTTGGTTGCACTACATTGTATTCTTATCTCTTTCTTTCTAGACTTATTACTTATATTTTATCTGAATGGGAACAGGGGATAAAGAAGGAAAACGTAGAAATTTAGTATGAAGGTATTAGGGAATGTATATAGGTAAACTTGAAGGGGGAAAATAGTAGTTCATGAAGATGAAAAGTAGTTTTAATAATTAATCTTATGTCCTGTGACTTTCATGCTGGAGAGGAAAAATTTATTTTTTGTTCAGCAAAATAGTGCTTGGCAACTAAGAGAGCTTTATAAAATGTTCAGCTGTTCTTATTTGGTTTCCTTTGGTTGGATTCAGTACTTTTTTTTCTTTATGTGTGTATTTGCAGACAGAAGAATGTACTAAAAGATCTCAACTGCCAAATGTAGCATGTAGGAAAAAAAAAAAAAAAGTAGATGGCCGTTACAAAGCAGTGAAATTCTTCCTGTCAAAACAGTTATCCTGTTTTATCTCTATCAGATCTTTACATCAGTACTCCTGAAGCATTCAGTAGGGGAAGTGCTGACAATGAAACATCCACAGTATAAATAATCCAGGGATGTGTCAATGTATTTCAGCTTTTTTTTAGGTAGATACCATGCTAGCTGACAACTTGGATGTTACAGAGAATATTGAAATAGTTAAGAACTGTTTCTTACCCCTTGAGATACTAAGAGTCTCTAAAGTGAAAATATAGAATCATAGATTCACCAACAGCTTCAAAAAGACCTCCAAAATCATCTAATCCAATTATCCACCTAAACCATGTCCCATAGTACCACATCTGAACATTTCTTAAACACCTCCAGGGTCTGTGACTCCAATGCATCCCTGGGCAACCCCTTCCAGTGCCTGATCACACTATTGGAGAAAAAAAACTTCCTAATATCCTACCTGAACCTCTCCTGGCACTACTTGAGGCCATTCCCTCTCATCCTATTGCTAGTTATGCCACAGAAGATTCTGACCCAGACCTTGCAACAGGCTCATTTCAGGCAGTAGACGGCTATAAGGTCTCCCCTGAGCCGCCTTTTCACTGCACTAAACAGTCTCAATTCCTCCAGCTGCTCCTCACAAGATTTGTGCTCCAGACCCCTTACCAGCTTCATTGCTCTTCTCTGAACACTTTCCAGGGCCTCAATGTCTTTCTTGTAGTAAGGAGCCCAAAACTGAACACAGTACTTTAAGTGCTGCCTCACCAGTGCTGAGTACAGGGGGATGATCTCCACCTTGTTCCTGGTGGCAACGCTATTTCTTATGCAAGTCAGGATGCCACTGAGCTTCTCGGCCATCTGGGCACACTGCTGGCTCATGTTCAGCTGAGTGTAGACACACACCCAGGTTAGTTTCTTCCACACAGTCTTCCAGCCACTCTGCCCCAATCCTGTAGCACTACCCATTGGGGTTGTGGTAGTCAAAGTGCATTTGGTCCTGAACCTCATACAGTTGGCTTCAGCCCAGCCAATCTAGCCTGTCCAGATCCCACTGAAGTGCCTTCCTACCTCAGGCAGATTTAAGTCCATTCCCCACTACTGTCTGGGCCCAGCCACCCAGACATTTCTTTACCCAGCAAAGAGTGTACCTCTCCAAGCCACAGGCTGACAGCTTCTCCAGGAGAATACTGTGGAAGACAGTTGCTGAAGTCAAGGTAGACTGTGTCAACAGACTTTCCCTCATCCACCAAGTGGATCACTTGATCCAAGGAGATTGGGTTGGTTAAGCAGGACCTGCCTTTTGTGAGGGCTGGACCTTGATCGGCTGGTTGTCCAGTACATGCTGTGCGTTCTCACTCTTTTTTTTGGAGGACTGCAGGATTGCTCGTAGATTGGCAAGGATACAGATAGGAAAAGGAGTTCATGGCTATTTGAACAGAGAGCGGGTTATCTTTCTAATAACATTGAAATTTGAAGTGTCTACTATTCATTCAGATAATTTTTTAATTGGATACAGAATAGAATCAATTTTTGTGATGTAGCTACCTTTTTAGACAGGCGGTTAAACATTAAAATAACATAGACAGTTTTAGTTGTGAAAAAAGTAGCATGAAGTACATGGTCTTTCATACACTTGAAACATTATGTAAGGATTTTATTGAAAGTGTTTTTCTCAGCGTAGGTGGACAGGAAATAGTTGGGAATGACTGGATAAAGTTTTCAAAAGCTCTTTACAGAGCCAGAGTTCTTGCATGAGACACAGCTCTTCTGAAAATGTAACCCTCAGTCACAAGTTTATGGAAAATAACATTAAGCACTATCTTTTTTTGTCTGTGATAATATAACCCATATGAGATTTATGTATTTATTATGAGAAAGTAATTTTCAAAAGATTTGCTTATTTGCAAAACAAACTTTCTCAGGATCTGTCCATATTTAAAATTAATTAATTAGTTAATTAAAGGCAAAACTCTGTCTGGCATCTCTCTTTTGTGAGAAAAGGGAAAAAGTATTCTTGCCAGAGAGTGGTATCATTCACAGTCTCTGCCTTGTTCTTCTCTGAGGTTAGAAGTAAGCATTGGGAAGGAAAACTTTCTGGAGCCAGACAGGAGTGGAGAATGAAATCCTTCTTCAGTGAGAGCTAATTGTGTCTCCATTTGCCTTTTGTTTCCTTGTCACTCAGCAGTTAGGCGTCCTAGTGGTTATTTTCTTTAAGTCCTCATTCTGTTGCTTGATGCTTATGAATTACTTACTGAAATTGTCTTCTTTTTAAAGCATCAGAAACAATTGTAGAAGCCAGATTGAAAAATAACCCAGAATCAACAGACCCTCTAAAGAAGCAGGAAAAACAGCATTTGGTTCGACAAGCGAGCACTGGAGTTTCCTTTGTTCTTATTACAACTCTTCTAATTATCCCTGTTGTTGTCCTGCTGGCAATTTTAATATTTATTCGTTGGAGGAAGACAGTCTATGGAGGTAACCATAACTAACTATACAAAACAAGTTTTGATGGTTCCATTTCAGCACATCTCTGAACATAGAGGGATATGGGTGTGAGGAGAGGTGTGCTGTCTCCCTTTACCCTTGTATGCAGGTTCAGTGATGCTGCATGCAAACTAAGCATTGGCGCTCACATAGCAGTGACACCTGAATTTGTTTTTGCACCTCAAGCCACCGTCCTTTACCTTTAATTGGTCTCAAGAACGTATTTGTTTTGTTGGCCAGAGTCTATTAACAGTGCAGTTTGATTTTCACTTTGGGATCTTCATGTTGTTGAGAACAGAGGGATGTGGGTATTACAAATGCATAACCATGCGTTGCTACAATATACAATATAATAATGAATATATACAATATTCATTGCTCTGAGAATTTTGCCTCATGATTACAGTGCTACTTAAATTTGTTTTTAATTCATATTATATAACAGCATTTTTTTCTGAGAAGCTGGTGATCTGTAGTAGGAGTTTGATAATTAGATTTTTTTCGTATGGCATAATGAATTTTGTGAAAGGTAATTCTCAGTAAGCAAAGAAAATGTACGTGGAACTGGCAAATGATAGTTCTGCCATAGGCTCAGACATGGTGTGAAAGAATGGGCCATTCAGCAGTCTGATTTTACTGTGCCACTGAATTGGATATAATTTTTGATGTGTTAAAATCTCCTTCTGACTGCTGTCTGTTTTCAAGCATGTATGGCACAGCTAGCGTGCCCTCACTGGATTACTGCACTACTGTTTTCAGTAGTAGCAGCATCTGCATATTCCGTAGTGATTCAAATAAGAATTACATAGAGAAATTTTAGGTATGACTTGTTGTTTTTTTTTGAGATCAAGAATTGGAAGACTTACCAGAGAGGAGGATGTTCTTTGTACGAAAGGGATTCATCTCTGAAGGCAGACTATGCCACCTGCAAATGTCAAGCCATATTTTGTCCTGTGCCAGAGTGTAGTTGTTGGTTATGCACATTATCAACCGCAGGGTTCTTGTCCTTTCTGTAAGCTCTTGGTGGTAACAGAAGTGAACACTTGAAGGAATGAAATTCTAAGAAATAATTTACGTGAGAATCTTCTCAGTGGCTGAAGTGCCATACACTGAGTATTTGTGATGTGATTGTTTTGTTAGGAATTATCACTCTTCACCTTAACTGAGAAGTTGAAAATTCGATGTCCTTGGTGCTCCCAATCAGTGTGTTCAGTGTCTGTGCTCTGTGTTAAAAAACAGAAATAATTACTGAATCATAGAATATAATTTTTAAGGTCATTTTTGAAATCTGTGTTATCTTTCAGCTGATGGGGAGCACAAACTTGACTCAAATTCAGGCCGAATTTTAGGCAGACTTAGAGGTAAGTAACACCTAAAATCTTTTAAGCACCCAGTAGATGAAAGTTTTTTTCTTTTGATAACTTCTAGTGGAACTTTCTCAGGGGAAGTTCTGGGAAAATGTCTTTTCTAACTCCCTTCATCCAGCAGTATCTGCCCACTGAAAAGGAAGTGGAAGATCAAAGTCTGTTAATAATGTATCTGGTGAATGGAATGAAGTGCTTTGAGATGTGGGCAATCTGGTAGAGGTGCAGATAGCCTGCATAAAGACTTCCAATAAAACAGTGTTTGCTGCAAATAAATATTTGAAACTTCAGCGATGGTAGATTCCATAATCTATGCGATTAGGCTCTTGTGCAGATCTCTAAGAACACTTTCTAGCAGGACTCTTAAAAGAAGTACTGACGGTGTAGGTAGATTTTTGATTTTCCTCTCTCGCACTAGAGCAATTTTTGACAGTGATTTCCTTCCCACAGGAAAAGGTGGTGGTGGCCTCAACCTTGGGAACTTCTTTGCAAGTCACAAAGGCTACAGCCGAAAAGGGTTTGACCGTCTCAGCACCGAAGGAAGTGATCAAGAAAAAGATGAAGATGATGGCACAGACTCAGAAGAAGAATACTCGGCACCTGCACCCCCACAAGCACTTTCTTCCTCCTGAAAACAGCCTTTGCGTTCTCCATTATATGATTCAACCCAGAATGTCAGATTCCTTTTCCCTTAAGCACGTTTAAGGTTTTGTGTATTTAATTGTAAACTGTACTAGTCTGTGTGGGGCTGTACACTGGTTTCTTTAATTTTTGTTTGGTTTTTGTTCTCTTTTCAAGTGGAGGAGTGTATGGAAGTTCCATATCAGTGCCGTTGTTTTTTATGTGACCATCTTAATAAAGCATAAAGTCTTCTGATTGCAGCACTGATTTAAAGCAGTAGTATTTTCTCATAAAAATTGGGGATCTTTTCTGTATTTGTAAATAAATTGTATTACCTGCTTCGAGAAAGTATTTTTCCTATAAATATTCAGTTGCCAATTTCTTTTTTGTGCCTTTCCTCTTCCATGTCCTTAACCTGTTGCAGTACAGAGAAAATACAGTGCCACAAGAAAATGAAGCTGCTAAATCTTCTTCTATTTTTTTAAAATCACTAACATTATATTGCATTGAAGGAAAAAAAAAAGTATCTATTTAATTGTTTTTTCTTCTTGACTTGATGTGTTTCTGGGATGTCTTATTTTTAGATGGTATCACTATTAGAACACTATTTTCAGGAACTGAATGTAATTTGTGTAATAAAGTGTTCGCAGAGCATTAGCTGGCTGAGTGTACTCTGGAATTTTTGCATGCTTTTAAGTTTTTTGTATACAACTTTTGTAAAAGTTACACAGACTACTTAATACGGAAAAATACCAAAAAAAAAAAAAGTCTTCTATCAGAGGAGAAAAAGTGCTATTTTGTGTGAAAGATGGAAAATATTTTGCTGTAGCACACGGTTTGGTTTCCTTGTTTTGGGGCTTTTTGTGGTGTTTTTTTTGTTTTGTTTTGTTTTTGTTTGTTTGTTTTAACAACTCATGATTTACATACACGTACAAAATCAAGCTTAACCATTTAACCATTCCTAACGTGCTCCCTCTTGGAGCAGAAGACTGGCGGATATTTGTCCTCCTGCCTGAGTCATCGATGTGTGAATCACTGTGTGACGTTGTCATGATTTATCAGTCTACTTTGAGGATCACAGTGTGATTAATCTCCTTCTAAAACCTGAGTTATAAGCAGAGTGTACGCAGCTGTAATTGCCACAGGGTTTTATGAAACAGCTTTCATGATCATCATTGTGGGTGTTGTAGTGCACTGCTGCTGATGCAAAGTGCTCAAAAAATAGGCTTTGGGTTCCTTGTGGCTGCAGCATTTCCAAGGCAATAAAGGTAATTGCACAGCAGCAGAAAGCAGGATTTCTCACCCAGCCTGAGTGGTTTTATATATTTTCTCCTTAAGGAAAAAGTACTTTGAATCCTGGACAGATTTTTTTTTCTAAGATAACTTTCTAAAATGCTGGAATATAGGCTCCATTTCATAAGATGTGTTCTGTGTTGCTTCCTCTCCAGATATTGTGTATTTTCCTAGTGCTGACAGTGTTTTTCTGTCCTACTTTTGGAAGCAATGGGAGGGGAGGGGAAGACAGGGGAGGTGGCTCCTACAGGCAAAACAATGCAGAGCCATCCCAGGAGCCAGCTGTGAGTCAGCAGTGGGTAGGATTCCTTGGGAAGCACATTGATTAAGAAGAATTTTCTAATTAAGCAGTGTGCTGTAGTAGTTAATGAGGATTTATAGATCAATACTGTAAATGGCAACTGCTTCTAGTTCGTGAAAGCTGGGTTTATTTCTTTCTTACCAAAACTTGGGTCAGCAGTGTGTGCCCTGCTGCGCAGCGTTAGGGTTCAGGGGTGTGGGTCACGGTACTGAGAGCCACGAGTGAATACTACGAAGACAACCTTGTCACGATTAAAAGCTGAAGTTAAGCCACTGTATATTTTCTGTATAGAAGAGACGGTAATAAACTGAAGTTTTAGCACCCTCTTTTGCCTTTACGTACAAATAAGCATATTTTTTAGTTCTTGGAACTGAAAATGTTGTATCTCCATTGCAAATAATCAAAATTTGTTAGCAAAATATTGCTATGATGTAACTGCTCCCAAAACCTCTCTCCAGTTCCTGTGAAAAATTTGCCTGTGTGCTGAAGCAAAACCTGCATGCTGCTGGGTTTGGCCTTGGTAGCTTCAAAACAAAAAGAGCATCTGGCTGGCTTTGTTAGGCGAGCACTGGGAGAGCTGCGTGGGAGCCAGGATGCAAGGGGCATCAGATTTTTCTAAATGCCAACCTGCTTCCTTCTGCTCCTTTCTGGTAATGTTTCCATTAGTTATTTCCATGTGAAGCAGGACATTCTGCTAGGAACCCCCTGGCTGATTTCATCATACAAAGTAATGAAAAAAAAAAATAAGCCACCACTAAATATGGAGACATTTGTTTAAGAGCCTGCACTGGAAGTATTGTTATACCCTCATACAAAGATGGCACGGAAAAAAATTGTTTCTTGTAAATAGTTTTATTAATTAGTTGCCAATTTTAAACTAACAAATACAGGGTTTTATTTTATTTTATTTTATTTTATTTTATTTTATTTTATTTTTTAATAATTAGAATGTGAAAAATGTAGCCGGGTGGGGTAAAGCAGCCCAAGTTTCCAGGTTTGTTGCAAGCCATCGAAGGCTGAAAGTGGTTTCTGTTTACACAAGTGTTAACAGAACCCTGCCCCAGTTCCTGTCCGCCACCACCACGCTTCTCACTGTGGCTTTATAATGTTCTTAGAATACAGCTGAAGAGAGAATTGTGTTAAAAAGGAGAGAATCTCTCAACACTGCCGTTTTATTCTCTTGAGATGGGTCTCAGGCTGCAGCACTGCTCTGTGAGACCTTGCCCTCAGGTTTGGTGAGTGTCCATTTTTGTGTAAGCCACAAAGCTGTACGGAATGTTTGGCACCATGGCAGTCAAGGTGCAAGCGGCCTAATGCACAAGCAGACTTTTTGTATAATACATATTTTGTGAGTGGTCAGTCACGCAGCATTCAAATAATATGGGTCGTGCTGCTTCAGAAATGCATCTGTACTTTCACAATTATCATCTAGTCCCAGACTGCTCTGATGTTTTCCACATCCATATGCCCACAGGAAGGAGCGCTCCAGGCTGCATCCTGCCTGCTGCCCACTCCAGGTCCAACTCCCACCATCAGTTCTGCTGGATTTCCCCTGTCTGCTTGCACCAATCCAACCTGCTGGAAAGGCTAGGAACGTACTGACTCTACCAAATGCAAAACTGGTGTTATGGCTGTGGGTATATTTGGAACAAGTGTGTTAAAGCAGATTTCAGTTAGCACGTTAAAAATGGCATGCATCTATGAAGTGAATACCAAAGTGCAGCCTTTGCTGAGAATGCAGTCTAAGGAGGAAAGGCCTTCCTGGAAAAATGAACCACTGCATAGCAGCTTCACGAGTTGTCATACCTTGCTAATGCCCTGGTGGCTGTTGGTGCTGGGAGCAGAGCCAAATGGAGCCCATGGCCATAACAGTCGCAAGAGCTGAGTCTGGCATCTGAGTGAGTACCCCACACACTGACAGACAGACAGCTTCTGTCAGACAACAGAAGTAATCAAGCTGGAAAAGCTAAGTTTGCTGAAGCCTCTCCCATTTCTACAGGATGAGTTCCTGCTCTACTTTTTCTGGGTCTTTAATCTGCAGAACTGATGGATGATGCCTCTGACTGGATGAACACTCAGTGCCAAGTTTATCCCTCTGATGGGGATAAATTTATTACTGTATTACCATGTATTACGTACCACTTGTAACTGAAATTCTGCAGAGAATACAGACCTCATTTTCCTGTGGCCCTTTTTCTGTGGGTCTCCCATTGCTGTGCCTGCCAACTTTGTGAAGAGTAGTGAGTACTTCTTCCAGTGTGCCTAGGGACTGACACGGTGATATGCACTTTGTACAGGAGGCAGCAGTGAGGCATAGAGAGATTTAAGGCATAAACTGACAAAAAAATTTCAACTACTTTGAAGTACAGTGTCTATGTAATCTGATTTATTCCCTTTCAACCCACTTGGATATCATTTTACACATGCAAGGCTCTGCTTCTTGCCATCAGCTGAAGCTCTGAGTATTCCCCATCTGCAGATCAAAGCTTGGTGATTCCTTCTGAGCACCCAGAAAAGGCCCACCTGAGTTAACATCTGGTTAATTATGGAAAGCTTTATCCACATCATTTCAGGGCCATCACATTGGCAACTTGCAGTGAGGCAGCACAGTCTGCAGCTGGGGATGCTGTCCTGCTCACAGCCTACTCACAGCCCACCTATATCTGCTATCAAGTCAGCATGGCTCCTGCAGGCCCCTTCCCCACAATCAGGGAATCCAGGAGCCCTGAAAGCAGAAGGACACCTACAGGCAGTACCCATAACTGGAGTATGGCTTCTGTACTCTAACACTTGCAAGTGCGGTGTTGGGCTGTGTAAAAGCAGAGGGGAGGAAAGGGGAACTTGTTAGGGAAGACAGCTCTCAGGCAGCTCCTGAATTACAAATTTTAAAATAAAATTACTGCCTGATTTGCTGTTACTTCTTTCTCAAGAGGCTTCTATGCCAAATTAGAGCTTATGTTCTGCACTGTTCTTCAACTGAACAGCTGGGGCTCTTCAGCCTGGGGAAGAGAAGGCTCTAGGGAGACCTTATAGTGACCTTCCAGTACCTGCAGGAGGCCTACAAAAAAAGCTGGGAGGGACTTTTTATAAGGGCAGGTAGAGACTGGATGTGGAGAGATGGTTTTAAAGTGGAAGAAGGTAGGTTTAAACTAGATATTAGGAAGAAATTCTTTATTGTGAGGGTGGTGAGATACTGGAACAGGTTGTCCAGGGTTAAGCTGCAAACGCACTCTCCCTGGGGGCTTTCAAGGCCAGGCTGGATGGGGCTTTGAGCAACTTGATCCAGAGGGAGGTGTCCCTGCCTATAGCAGGGGAATTGGAACTAGATGATCCTAAAGGTGCCTTCCAACCCAAATAATTCTGTGATTCTATGATCATAAATGTCTACACACCAGGTTTTCCATAGTAGGACCACAGGCCTACTATGTTATTACTGCTAGGTTATCTACTGTGTGTAAAAGGGATAATATCGATCATCTCCTGAAGACATTGCTAATTCCCATTTACTTATTCAGCCTTCTAATTGTCTGTCTGGTCTTATTGACTTCTGTTGGATTCATGTGCAAGCAGCATCCTCTGTGCTGATTTTCTACTGCCTGGTGAGACTGCAGTGCTTGCGTATTTTAGTTCTAGTTAGTCCAGTGAGTTAGCTGAAAACATCTATTTAACTGCTGTAAATAGTAATATAATATTTCTTCTCATTTCCTGTTTTGAAAATACCAAAGAGGCAACTGTGCAAACAGATTCTGATGTCATTAGAGTAACGATGTCAGCCACAACAGGGCACTGATACAGACATTGCACAGCCATGAGTAAAGGAAATTGATCTATTTTTCAAAAGCAGTGGTTCCAGAAGATTTGTCAACGGCTCGCTGTGAAAAGCAGCTCGTAAGTCATTGCTGTCCTTCAACAGGGAACATTCCGTTCTTGGGAGAAGGAGGGAAAAACTTTAAAATATCAAATATTGTCTAGACCTGGAACACATTAACCCAGGATGAGCAAATGCTACACAAGAGTTAAGGAAGTATTCAAATATGAGATATGGTTTTTCATTCAATACTGAAACGCTTTGAGTGTTCATACAGAGGCTTTTTGCCAGCAAATTGTTTCTCTTTTTTTGTTTTTCCTTGACACGTTTTTCATCTAACTAATTGCTAGCTGATAATTGGTGCCAAAATCAAATCAAAAAATGCTGGGAGGTGCGAGCAAATTGGCTGTTTTTTCATGCTGTGTTCTCCTATCTATTCCTCCTTCCTGAACAACTTGCCACGAGGGGGCACAAACTCTATTAAAGTACAGAATTTCTAAGAATTCTGCCAGGGAATAAGAGTCTTCTGCTACTGTCCCACATAGAACAGGCCCTCATGCCTGGTTGCAGATGGGCACTTGTGCATTTACTGAGAAGGTTTGTGCTCACCATGCTGACAAGTGTGCACTGTGCAGCACTTACCCAGGGCGAGGGCGGAAGCTTCCTCCAGTTTCCCAGAGCACCGTGTGCTATTTGCCATGTCTCAGGTTTCCTGGTGGTATCCTTTCCACAGTTTCCAGTGATTGTTTTTCGAATCATTACCTTGAAAACCCTCTCCTTTTTTCAATAAACTTCCTGTGTGCAAAGAAGGCCTCATTTTGGTGCACCCAAGGGGCACTAATGCTTGCCTGTTAATGCAGTAGACCATCATTACCAGGAAACTTGAATGATCAGCATTACACAGACTGTTAAATGGGTACTGTTTTTCCTATTCTACTGTCAGCTTAGCATTTTATTTTTCTCCAGTGTAGCTACAACAAGCACACAGCATGTGTTGTGCCAGAGCTCCCCCATGCACCCGCCATAGAAAAGAGCTCCACGGAACTGTGCACGAGTAACAAATAGAGCTTTGCTGGCACAGCCTGTGAGCCTGGCTCTTGCCTTCTGAAACAGTCTCAACAGGGAAAATATACGCAGGGAAAAGAAAGCATTTTTAGATGGATTTTAAGATCAGATCCTGGAATACTGTTCTTTCACTTAGCTTTGAACCATTATACCACAGGCATGCCCTGTAAAAGGTATGAGTTCCTACATGAGCTGGGTACCTAATCAGACTTGTGGATAAAGCCTTTTTACCTAAGTTTAATAAAAGCCTTTAATAAATAATACTTTCCTCTTCCAGGTTTTCTCTAAAGACTACCATTATAACTACTCCTTTAATCTAAAAGCCACCTGCATTAAATGCCATATGATAGCCAGCAGCAGAGACGGTAAGGAATGCAGGTGTTCAGAGGGCAGGAGAAGAAAGTCTTCTGCAGTATCAAATGGATGCTGCTCCATTTCTAAATTCAGCCCCTTGCTAGCATTCTTCCTCTTCCTGTCACTCCCCTATAAAAGGAACAGCTTGCACTCATCAGTTTTCCACGAGAGTTTTTGCTCAGCTGACTTTAGGAACAGCCACATTTTAATCTTACCAAGAAATACAGTCTTCCTGGCAGGAAGTCCAGGCCTGCAACAACTTATTCAATGAATTCAGAGAATGAACAACACCATTCCTCACCTTTCCCTGGGCACTGTCAGCAGAAATCTCCCAATCTATGCTAGCTCTGGGAAGATGTATCACTCAGGGAAACCAGATGCCTGTGAAGAAAGAACAAATGAATGCTGACTGCTCTTATGATTTTGGCATACGTGAGGAACTAAAACTGCTCTCCTAGCAGAGTTTTGATGAGCAAGGGAGCAGCTGAAGGCCTTGCTGTTCCATATGCAAAACATTACCTGTACTTTTGGCAGCTTTAGTTTTGTGACACCTTAGAGCTGTGGACTAGAGTATAAATTCAAAAACGTAAAAATCAGAGCTTGCAGCTTCTTATGAACAATAAAAAACAGTTTCATAAAAGGAAAAGAAACTTCCTGTTCCTGTTATATCAGTTTCTTTGCCCTTCTACAGGGAAGACAGAATTTCTGTTGTTTAGATTATGTGCATCCCACAACACTTCTGCCTGTTAGGAATGAGTCACATGAGGACTAAGGAAAAGGTCATTACAGCGAAATATGTTGTGTCCTGAGAGGGTAACAGTAAAGCTGGGCCTTATAATCATTTTACTAATATAAACTGAGCTACAAAGGCATGATGAGAACACGTGCTTTTACCATGTTGTGACAGTACTGGTAATTGAATGCTTACTTCTCAACGTCCACTTCAATTAACGCCGGTAATTTACTTGTTTTTAAGTATGTACAGTAGAACACGTGCTTTTACCAGGTTGTGCCTACATTTTGTTAACAGAGTGATTGCTTTTTAATGCCCACTTCGGTATTCTTAAATTCATACAGCAAAGTGGATTTGGTTGAGGAACTTGGAACTATTCAAACTTTGTCTGTCTGCCACATGTACTCCAAACTGTTTGTCAATAAAAAGCCATGAGCCTGCTTAAGAATCTTCTATCTTGGTCTCAAGTGTCCAGCAAGGTGAAGGCCATTGTGCTGGCTTTGCACTGTTTGGTTCAACGCAATGATCTTCTGTCATCTCAGACTGATGTCCACCATCTGCTGATTCTTGGTCTTTGCAGGCTGAAGGTGGTGTTTGCACAGCAGACGTGACACTTCTCACATAGGCATTTATTTCCTCTTCAGCAGCAGGATCCTGCTGGTCTGCGTTATAGGATCTCTCAGATAAGCCAGTGTAGTCATGGTCAACAACTATCGCATCTTGTAAAAAGTAGTGGTCATCTGCAAAACAGAAAGCACCCTTTAATGCAGATCCTTCTAGTTCACTGAAAGCCATAGTGAAGATGACAATGGGGTGCCACCTGGATTACTGGAGCAACAACAGCCTGATTATGTGCTTTTCTTAATTCTACTAAACAATAAATGTCTGGTTGCATCTCATATATCCACAAAATGATGGTTGTGATGTTTAGAAGAGTTGTTGGTTTTTTTCTGCTGTGTTGTAGACTAGCTTGAAGACTGTCATAGTCACCTACTGAGCTAGTAACTTAAATGAATAGACATGCACATTCTTCTGCTTTGTGCACCAACGTTCACAGAAATGTGGCATCTCCAAACTCTTGCTGGGAAATTGCAGTGCAGCACAATAGCTTCTTTTTTGGGGGGGAGAAGAGAAATAAAACAGAATTAAAAATTAAAACAGTTTTATAGAATTTTATGACAACAGCACTGATTAGTACTATATAGCTCTACTGAACTTTTCTTACTGTGTTTGATTTTTCCAAGGGAGATATAATAAAATTAAATGCCAAATTAAATGCACGTCAGCATGAAATTTATACTTGTCTCCTGGAATATGGCATTAGGACCTATCTTCTTGCTCAGATGAGGACACTATTGGGAAAATAAGTTTTCTAGGGACTATGAATTCATTCAGGAGTTACAATTCTCAACAGATGTGTCCTCAATCTGTCTATGCACATTCTTGAATCACTTGAGCATTGGAACCACATGAATTCTCCTGAGTTTAGTATCTAAACTAAACGACATTAATGCATGAAAAAAATATTGCTTCAGACACAAGAATGCTTGTGTACACAGGGTGCTCTGCAACCTCTGCCAGGCATTCAAACACCTAAGCAACCCAGGTTTGCATAGACTTCTAATTTGTAATGCTTCTGCCAAGAGTATATACTAGTGCACTGACTCAGGATTTATCTTTAGACCAAGAGTGTTACAAAAGGCTAGAAAAATGCCTTGCTTCTACTTGCCCTTTCTTCACTGCATACAACTTTAAAATCATATTAAAAAAAATAAGCACTCAATTTTCAGCCTTTGTCTTTCCTGCTAAAAAAGCTCAAACCCATACTTCTAGTGCAACAAACAGAAGAAAACCTGCTCTAAAAATCTGGAGTGTAAGCAAAATCTGTAGCAGTACTAAAAGGTCATGGACACCTCACTTAAGCTGCACTTTCTCACATTCATTTCAGAGAGACAGCTGCAAATACTTTGTCCCCACTCAAGGTTATGCAAAGGGACAGCTATCAGTCTGCCACACCAGAGCTAGAGGAATAATAAGTTAGTTGCTAACAAAGAACAGTCCTTTGTTAAAATACAGATACTTGTGTCTTTAAGGATGAAAAAGCTGTAATTCACTGCCAGGTTTCACTGCTATTATTCTAATGAAGCTTTGCTTCCTTTCCTGACTTCTGTTAGGCCATTTAGTAAAGGCTGTCTATTACTTTGGACAAACCTAGTTTACTTCTCTCCGCAGTGTAAATATGTATGAATATAAAAATATAACTTTAGAATTCATACATATGCATAACCCATTGATTCTCTCTCCCCCGCCCCTCCCATCCTATGTCAGACAACAAATCTTCAGTTACTCCCTGGGAAAGGGAAGAAACCCTCCCTTTGCTTTCCGCTTCTGCAACGTTTGTTGGTGAACGTGTCAGACTAATCCTACAAAGACGGCTGCACTTTGCTTTCCAGACTCAGATACAATTTACTCAAGCTGGTGAAGCAGCTGCACAGGAACTGCTTGCAGGCCAGGCACGTGACTCTGCATCTCAGCTCAGCAGTTCAGCCAAGAGCTGGAAGCCACAGAATCACGGTCCTACAGCAACAGCAGCATCCGAGAGAACCTATGTGACACTGCAGTCCTGGTGACACAAGCTGCAGCAGAGGCTGACAAATGGCCTTGTTACCAGCTCCTAATGTGAAAATCCAGAATAACTTTCATCTCTGTAAACCCTCAGTTTTATGTGATGGAAGCAAGGGCTGTCTCAACATAACTGATGCTCTTTAAAGAACTAGTGCCCAACCACATGTGCTGAAGAGGTGGAAATCCCTCCACTTTTCTTTTCAAGTATCCTGAACAACAGTGACAGAAGTCTTCCAAATGCTGGGAATTCCTTTTCCTACAGATGCCTGAAGTGACCCACAGGCAGCATCAGCAGAACGTAAATGGCTGCTGTTGTTTGATTAATACAGACCATTGTAAAAGGGTACATAGAATGTGCAAGAGAAATAGTGGCAGCTGGTTACCTAAGTGTTTAGGAATTTACCTCTTCATGACTGCAGTTTAAAACAAACTCTCTGCAAGTCAGGTTTTTGAAGTAGTTTTCGTAGTGCAAGGTTTTAGAGGACAGGTTTTTTGTCTAAACATGTACTATCTGTACCAGCCAGAGTAAGCACAAACAAACAGACAAACATTTCCAATGCACAAAGACAATCAATATGGATCCTGTCTGTATCAAAACAAGAACACAGTCAGAAGATGCTCTATGAATACAGTTCAGTCTGATTATACTTCTAGAATATTTCTGTCAGCCAGCATGAACAGGGCCAAACCACATATTAGAAGCAATTAAACAGAATTTTTTTTTAAAGACTTCAAACATGATTCATTAACTTTGCTCCACAGTCTGCATAGGTTTGAAGCCGTTAACACACTCTGTTCTCATTTAATAACAACTGTAATGATTTCTCCACTAGCTAGTGTTGGTTCCATTCACCCTGGTATCTGAGTGATACTTTTTCATTGTGATAACCTCACCTAACACTCCTGGCAGTAAAAGTTAACAATATACAAATATACAAAATATGCACACACACCTTTTTCATTGGACCCTCTTACGTACGGCTTGAGGTGAGACATCTTGATGGGCCTTTTCAATCTGGATCCTGTGGCATCTCTTAATATTGCACAGCCATTTTCTGTAATATAATCTATAATACAAGGACCAACCCATTCTGACTGGAAACGACCATCTTTCCACCAATTTTTTCTCTGTCTGAGGACTTCATGACCAACTTTAAGTCGAAGGGTACTTAACTGCTTTGGCTTTCTTTTGATGTTGATTTTATTTCTAGGTTTCTGTTCATCTGAAGTGGTTTTCTCCACCTGCAATAGACATTTAAATGAATTACGTTTTCTTTATCCAGAAATAATCAAATATTTTCATAACATTGATTAATAATGCAGAAGTTTAACATTAAATGTCTTTGAATGTCATCATATGTAGAACTGGAGTGTTCTGAAGAAATGTATTTTATCTTCATGTCCTAAATCAATAGTCCATAGGAAACGTTTTTCAGTTTCCTCGAATATGCAGTCCTATAAGTCAAGCACAAATCTTCTGGAAACATATTTATTTTCTTACACATAAGCGTACATACACTGGACCCCAGGGATTGCAAGCTGAAGAAAAAAGAAAAAAAAAAAAAAAAAAAAAAAAAGCATTGCTCTAAAGGTTGGTTATACTTCAAACTTAAATCTCTCCATCTCGTGTTTCTTTTCTCATCAGTCTCCTTCCTAGTAAAGGTTGAAATTAAAAACATGTACCTGGCCATTTGAGGTTTTCTCTTCTTCAAGTGCTTGATTAGCTCCTCTAGTTGCTTCAAATATTTTCGCAAACATGTTGTCTTCTCCTTCCACACATATGTTCACTGGTTCAACAACATACGGGTTACGACTAAACATCTGGAAATAAGGGGTGTTTTGATCTGGCTCCTATTTATTTGGGAGGCAAGAAGCAAGCCAATTTAGTATGCAGTTTTTGCACATGTTTTGTGGGACTTCAGTCAAAAGAGGAAGAATGCTTACTTACCAAATTAGTCAAATTGAAAGCATAGGCAATAGCAGACAAATGTTCATCCCAATCGTTTGGATGATCTATGCAGTATTTGTTCAGAAAAGCTTTGACTGTCTTGCATGTTCTTTCACTCACTTCATTGGTTTGAGGATAAGACAATACTATTTGTTTCATTCCAAACAGTGCAAATAGTTCTTTGTTTATCTTAGAAAGAAAAATACGACAATTACTGAAATTTTCCATTTTTTGTATGCAGTTAATGTAAACATACTCAGTGGTTTTCTGAGTATTTTGCTGGTGAGGTGGCGAGTGAGCAAAAGTCTTCTATATAAACTATATAAAGATTGTTCTGAAAGTAATGCCTCCTATTTTATTACATTGGCCCACAGTGGCTGTTGCTGGTAGAGCAGAAGATGTTGGACCTTTCCATCAATATTCCACTATATATTTTTGACACGTGACAGACTGAAGCAGAGGGGCAGTCTGATAAAACTGCGTCTGACATAGAAGTACGTGCATATAAAGCAAAGATTTGTCGTTGAAATCCACCATGTAGGAAAAAAAAAATAAAAAAAAAAATGGCACCCACTGACATTCATCAACATTTGCTGAATGTTTACAGTGACCCAACAGTGGATGTGAGCACAGTGAAGTGGTGTGCTTCAGCAGTGGTGACAGTGGGTCACTTCCATTGGTGCAGATTTTGATGAGCACAGTATGCAGGTTCTTGTTCATAGTGTAGTTAATGGTGCTATGTTGAGAAGTTGTTCTGTGAAATAAGAGCTCTGTCAAAGAGACTGGTCACTGTACTGTTCTCATTTCCATGGAAATAAATATGAGGCACTACTTTTGGAGCAACCTACTCTTACATAACAGTCTAAACCTAGGAGTGAGTGCTAAAGGAATCAGTATGGGTCAGCATACAGTAATCAACGGTTTCTAAATGTATTTCTGCCACTAACACAATTTATTATTTTTTTCATATCAAAGCCTCATGATTTCATAATTTCTGTGAGGATCAGACAAAGTTCACTATATCTAAGTGTATTTTGACATTGGTTTATCTGCCATATTGGGCAACATGAAATACTGGATAGATGAAGTACAGTGGAATGTTGGTGTGTAAAATATTGTGTCCAACTACATGACAAAATATGCAGTATGACTATTAAAAAGTCATTTTGCTTTGTTCTTTACCCAAAGAAAACAGTTCTGGGAAAAGAGAAGAGAATAAAGAGAATAAGCATTCAAGATTTACCTTTTTTTCTCCTCACTAAAGGCCTAAAATGCAAATTTACTGAGGAGAAAAATACATTTTTCTTGAAAAAACAAATCATCTATGTAAAGACTTACCTGGTGAACAAGCTCCTTCCCTTGGTCAATAGGCATTTTTTGAGGTGGTCCATATAAGAAAAACACACTGATGATTGCCCTAGCTATTTCAGCTGCTGAAGTATCACGCAGAGGCAAGATAACAGTCCATTTTGTGAACAAATCTATCATGACTATGACATACTTGTGGCTTCTTTTGGTAGCTCTAAATGGACCCATTAAGGCTACAGTGACTGCTGTCCAGGGGTCTTCTGCTTTGATAGGGTATGGTTTGAGTGTGGTGGTGGTTGTACTCTTTGCCACTTGGCAATGCTGGCACGCATACACCTAGTGAAGAAGCAAGGGAAGATCCTGTCAATAAAAAGTGATGGTAAAGGTTTACAACAATGAAATATCATAAATCTCTACTATTCCTCTGTAAGTCAGGTCAGATCAGATCACATCAAATTCATTTTATCATCTTTCTTATGATTGGCTACCCTTACATTTTTCCAGCCCTAGGATAAGAAAAATAAAACCAAACTAAAGCACAGTGAAGACCAGGGGAAAGGTGTGTGCAGCAATTCAAGGCTGAGCTCCCCTCATCCCAAAAGCACCGTGCTAGTTCAGGTGTATAATATCAAATTCAAATTTCATCACCGTCAGTAAATACTAAAGGAAGCATGAAGCACCCAAGCTTGAAATAAAACAATTTCAATCATTTCCCTTTTGCTTCTGTTGCAAATGCTGCAGCCAGTAAACAATGGCAGTGAGCAAAATCTGCCACATACAACACAGATCAGCTTTATCTACAGGACAGAACTCATTTTCCAGGTTTGAGTGAAAGCAAGACTCATTTTTGGTTCATGTTACAGTTGCACTAAGTACTCAGGTGATGCAGCAAGCTGATAGCAGCAATAATTTGGTCACAAGGAACAACGTTCACATACAGTTTGCTCAAGGATCAGCTTCTGCCTAGGGATTATGTCAATGTATCTTTGGGTGAAGGAGAAGGAATATCCCAAAGTAGTGATTTGTTTAACTGCTTCCCCAACACACTAAGTTGGAAGGCAGAGGCCCGTTCTCATCTGCCAGCAGTCACTCTGGCCAGCTGTGCACTCGGGATGGTATGCTGCAGCCTAACAAAGATATGTAAAAGGGCTTGCCAGAGAAGTGCCCAGTACACCGAAAGAAGTCACGTCTCTCTACCAGTAGCTAGCATACTACATAGCTGTACAGCTATACAATATAGCTGGCTACACAGTTGAGACAAGTAGCACTGCACTTTGACATAAAGGCTACTTAAAGTTTGATTGTAAGCTTCTGTAACCTCATCATCAAGCAACGATGAATGCTGTATCAAAGTCATACAGTTATTTTGTATGTTATTTTTTATATGTATTATTTATTTTTTTATATGTACAGTTATTTTGTTATTTTACATTTTGTAAAATGTTTGCAACAAAGACTACATTAAAAAAAAAAAAGTATCCTGTAGCTATGTGACCATACCCACTGTTTGACATCATTTGTAACAGAGGTCCAGTAGTAATTAGCTTCCACTAAAGTCAGCGTCCTTGATATGCCATGATGAGTGCCTGCAGCATTTTCATGGCATTTCTGAAGCACCTTTTTCTTTTCTTCATCTGAGACAATTACTAGGCGCATTTGTTTTCTGTCTTTTCCAACGTAGAACAATTTATTTTCTGGAAAGAGAAAAATACCAGCAAGTTACAATCAAGAATATTGCCTTCTATAGTTGGTCAGTTTGCTGAACTACTGGGAATGATTCAGTGCAGAATTTATTAAATCAACTTCATTTTACCTTTGTGTGAAAGTAGATTTGTTGTGGGTGGTGCTCTCTCTCTCTCTTTTTTTTTTTTTTTTTTTTTTTTTTTTTTTTCCTCCCCCCCTGATTTGTTTGATTTAAAAAGACTCTCATTATTTTCTCTTAAGAACCAGTTGTTCACCAACATTTAACTATCTGGACATGAGGTGTTAAAAGGGCAGGTCAGAATGCACACTGTTCCCACAGATCTTCAACAGTAACACAAGATAGTCCTGGGGTGTGAAAGGGATGCAGGCAGTATCATGAGGTGCATTGAGTGCTTGCCAAGCAACCACACATTGTGATCTGTGGCTTTAACTCCTTCCTGTCTTCTCTCTAAAAAAAGTTGGGTGGATTGGATGTGACTGAGAGCGCAAAGCAGATGCAAAGGCTCCCTTATGTCTTCCCAGGGATACAACAAAGCTGGGGTGGGTCAGGAGGCTGTAAGGTAACAGAGCAAAGTCCTGCTGCCCAGTCACACACAAAATGTTTCAACCAACCCAAACCTTCCTTGTCAACAGCCACAGAGCAGGACTTCTACTGTTGTCCCATAAACAAGGTGTTGCAAAAGAGAGTTCCCCAGTATCTAAATTAATGTTTGTCTTTCTAACAGATACATAAAACTTTTGAGCAAAAACTAGAGGAGACTAAGTTTCTGTAAACATTCTGTTATATATTAACAAGGGACAGGCAGGCTGCTTATTCATGGAGGATGTATATTAAAAATCACAGCATGCTGCACAGCAAGATATCACTCTCAGTGTTTGTATCAGTAAATCTTCACCTAAAAATCAATTTCTCAGACTAGTTTGGAAGAAGATGTTTACCTTTGAAAACAAATTTTTTGGCTGCTCTTCTGATTCCACTTCTTTCACTTGATAGCGTTGTGGGATGGTACTCCCCCGTTCTTTTGTAGTATGCAATCTGTTTCAGGTGGAGTCCACCATTTTTTCCACTACGGACCATTGCTAACCTGTTCAAAACGCACAGCATTTGTTAGTTGGAGCAGCTATGAAAGCAACACATCTTCCCTGGTTTAACTCATAAAATTACTGCAGTTTAGACAGAGGTACCCCAGTGAAGTAGCAAATTAATTTATCTAATTGAGCTTTTCCTCCCAAAAGCAGCTGTATTTCAATCCCACAAATTGCTTCAAGTGCTGTTAAGCTTTGTACACCTGAGGGCCTTTTGTACCATTCATTGCATGTTATCATAGAATCTCTAGAGTCAGAAGGCACATCTAAGGGCCATCTAGTCCAACTCCCCTGCAGTGCACAAGGACATCTAGATCAGGCTGTCCAGGGCCTGCTGCAGCCTTGCCTTGAAAGTCTCCAGGACGGGGCATCCACCACAACACTGGGCAACCTGAGCCAGGGCCTCACCATCTCACTGTAAAAGATTTTTTCCTTATATGTAATCTAAATCTACCCTCCCTGAGCTTGAAGTCATTTCCCCTTGCTCTGTTGCCACAGATCCTGCTAAAGAGTCTGTCCCCTTCTTTCCTGTAGCTTCCCTTTAGACACTGAAAGACCACTATCAGATCACCTCGCAGTCTTCTCTTCTACAGGCTGAACAGCTCCATCTCCCTCAGCCTGTTTTCATAGGTGAGGTGTCCCATTCCATCATCAACACGGGCAATCATGAGCGCCACCTGACACACCATTTTGCCATACACAACACTGGTTTTGTCAACATGTATTTTGAAATTTCTAAACAATAGGATCTTCCATTATATTCACTGGAGAATGACAGGTGAAATTAAATCAGAAAAATTGGTTGTCTTACTTTTAAACATTTAGATAGCTTTCACATGGAGGTGTGCTGTGGACTAGATGCGTCCAAACAGTCACCCTGATCTGAAAAAAAAACCACACAGACAAATGGGAAAAAAACAACTTCCCAGACAGAGACTGACACATTTATTTTCTTCATTAATTCATTTGACAACCGGATTCTGAAGCCCCAAACGAGACTGTCTGCAAGTTAATAATTAATTCCCTGACATGGGCTGACTTCTCTGATCACATTAATAAACTAAAATGTCATTAGTAAAATGCGTCATTGGTACAGGAAAAGCTTAGGTGTACCACTGAATAGCCTAAAAATAATTACCAATTAATGATAAGCAGAAATATTCGCACAGGCTCAACAGGCTCATGATTTCTTTTCTTCAGATCTGCTCCTGCAGTAATGAACATGTAGATGGAACAGCTTTTTGATCCTGCTCTAATTGACCTGTACTAGAGCAGGATCAGGTTTAGAGCCTGCCACGTTGTTTTAAATGAATGCCCGTTATCCACAGCATTAAACCAAACTTCTTCCTCATCTTTCCAGCAGCACAAGACCAGACAATGTGACAACATGCAGCCTGCTAAAAGGAATAGTCAGATTGTCTGCCATATCTGCTAAGCAGCACATAATTATTAAAAAAAGTGACAGTATCCAGCCACTCCAGAATCCTCCACCTCTTTACATGTCAATGTTATTTGAAAGCACAATGTATAAGCTAGGATATTTAGCTTCCAATTTCTAGATTCTCACCTGCCTTTACTATTTTTAGGGTGGGAAAAAGGTAAAGAGCTCCACTGTGATTATATCTGTTTTTAATCACTGTTTTCCTGAGAAAGTGAAATGCTGTATCTTATTTATAGAATATCTTATTCCTTTTATGTAGCTTGGCTGTGTTATCAATGCCAAATGCATGCCAGGAACTTCTCATTCAACCAATGACAAGACCTTTGACCCACTGAATATTTCAGTTTGCATAACCTAGATCCAGCTTGCACAAATAGCCAAGTCATCATTCAACATTACAATTTCAAAGTAAAATTGTCATAATTGAGAGAATTTCCACAACTAAACAACTGTTCCCATCAGAAAGGAGAGCATTTCAGGAAAGGGAGGAGTGAATCCAGAAGACAGTACTGTTTTTAGCTATCTTGGCTGGCATTCCTTGGAAATTTATATCTGATAGTACAAGCCAAAGCAGCTGAGCTGGTAAACTGGATAACAGCAATAAGAAAGGTGAGGCTACCATGATACATGTATTGTTTCTGCATTGTTAAAGCAGTTAATTAACTAGCATATCTGATAGTAAAAGATTACTGGTAAAGAACAGTTAAAATATTCCATCTGCTAAGCATATGCATTCAATGTGTCTTCACTTAGGGCTACTCCTGAAGGCCAGCCTGAAGTTACAAGAGCATGCCTGGAAGTCACAAGTGGCTGGGTACAGTTTCTGAAGTAATAGCAGAGATGCTGGTCCATTTTGGATGGTGACAGATTTTCATATGCTGCACGAAAAGATGTTCCAGAACAATCTTTATTCTTTCAGCATGAAAGATCTGATCACACATGTCTTGCTTGAGACTGTGAAAGTTCCCTATGTAATATATGGTTATAGGTTCTAAAAAAATAAAGTTGCACAGCAGTAAGATCTATCTGAGAAGCAGTGCAGCTTATACTTCAGCTGAACAGAAGTTTTGACTTAATTCCTGCAATGTCAGTTTCTGTTATAGAAATGTGGCAGAGTGCACATAATCTTATGAAGAAAGAACACGTTTATGTATCTTGTGTAGCATCCACAAGCATTTAGATTATTGCGTGTAATCCTGAACCAGCAAATTTAAGTGCTTCAGCAGGCTGCTGGACTCCTGCCTAAAAGGAAAGCATTAAGTGAATTTCCTTCCGGCATATTTAGCTTGCTGTGTCCCCACTCACTTTTAGGTCTGTGCACTTGGTCTAATAATAAAAAAAATAAAAATAAAAAAAACCAAAAACATGTTACACAACCTTCTGTTTCAGTTGTTTTAGCATAAACCATTACCACAGATAATTTACACAATACTTCTATCAGTATTCATACCATAGCTAGTACTCTATACAAATGAATTAATTATATAATGAGTCATCAGTCCTCGGTACTTTGAAGTAGGGAAGGAATATATGGTTTTACAGTGAAGGAAGAGACTGATACTTCCCTGTAAGCAGAGCTGCTCTTGTGTTAGAATCTTTGTCAAAACAGCCATGGCTATTAATACTTCACTATTTTGCCTTTTAATGTCCATCTTCCATCCCCACACAAACTGCAATAAGATTCTGAGATTCTGTAAATGAAATGTTTTTTCAAGAACATTTGTGTTTCTTTTCCCCCTTTTCCTGAATCACAGGATCGTAGGGGGCTGGAAGGGACTCCTGGTGATGACCTAGTCCAAACCATCGACTAAACCAGGTTCCCTCCAGTAGGTTGTATAAAACATCCAGGCAGATTCTAAATATCTTCAGAGAAGGAGATTGCATGACCCTGGGCAGCCTGTTCGAACCTTCATGGTAGGTAAAGTTCTTCTTCATATCTGTATGGAACTTCCCGTGTTGCAGGAAGTTTGTGCTCATCACTCCTTGTCTTGTCCCTGTATACAACTGAAAAGAGCCCAGCCCCATTCATTTGACTTCACTCTTCAGATATCTGTAAGTATCGATAAGATCCTCTTCCAGTTTTGTCCAGACTGAGCAGCCCCAAGTCTCTCAGCCTTTCCTCAGAAGGGAGATGCTCCAGACCTCTCATCATCCAGCCCTCCACTGGACTCTCTCCAGAAGTTTCCTCTTTTTTCTTGAAGGCAGGAGCCCAGAACTGGCCACTATATTACAAATGTGGCCTCACCAGGGTGCAGCAGAGGGAAAGGATCACCTCCCTCGACCTGCTGGCCACTCTCTCCATGATACACCCCAGGATACATTGGCACTCTTGGCCACAAGGACACGCTGCTGGCTCATGGCCGACCTGCTGTCTACTAGGATCATAGAATCATAGAATCACCAATGTTGGAAAAGACCTAAAAGATCACCCAGTCCAACCGTTCACCTATTCCCAATAGCTCCTACTAAACCATGTCCCTCAACACAACATCCAGCCTTTCCTTGAACACCCCCAGGGTTGGCAATTCCACCACCTCCCTGGGCAGTCCATTCCAGTGCCTGATTACCCTTTCTGAAAAGTAATACTTCCTGATGTCCAGCCTGAATCTCCCCTGCCGTAGCTTGAAACCATTCCCCCTGGTCCTATCACTAATGACACGAGAGAAGAGGCCGACCCCCAGCTCACTACAACCTCCCTTCAGGAAGTTATAGAGAGCAATGAGGTCTCCCCTGAGCCTCCTCTTCTCCAGGCTAAACATTCCCAGCTCCTTCAGCCTCTCCTCATATGGCCTGTGTTCCAGACCCCTCACCAGCTTTGTTGCCCTCCTTTGAACACGTTCCAGGGCCTCAATATCTTTCTTGCAGTGAGGGGCCCAAAACTGGACACAGTACTCGAGGTGCGGTCTCACTAGTGCTGAATATAGGGGAACAAACACCTCTCTGCTCCTGCTTGCAACACTGTTTCTGATGCAAGCCAGGATGCCATTGGCCTTCTTGGCCACCTGGGCACACTGTCGGCTCATGTTCAGCCGAGCATCAATCAATACCCCCAGGTCCATCTCCTCTACGCAGTCCTCCAGCCACACCGCCCCAAGCCTGTAGCGTCGCCTGGGGTTGTTGTGGCTGAAGTGCAGGACCCGGCATTTGGCCTTGTTGAAACTCATCCTATTGGCTTCAGCCCAGCTCTCCAGCCTGTCCAGATCCCTCTGTAGGGCCTCGCTACCCCCAGGCAGATCGACACTTCCAGCCAATTTGGTGTCATCTGCGAATTTACTGAGGGTGCACTCAATGCCCTCATCCAGGTCATCAATAAAGATATTGAAGAGGACAGGCCCCAGCACCAACCCCTGGGGAACACCACTCACGACCGGTCGCCAGCTGGATTTGATTCCATTCACCACCACTCTCTGTGCCCGGCCCTCCAGCCAGCTCCTTACCCAGCCAAGAGTGTACCCATCCAAGCCTCGGGCTGCCAGCTTCTGCAGGAGAATGCTGTGGGAGACAGTGTCAAAGGCTTTGCTGAAGTCTAGGTAGACCACATCAACAGCCTTTCCCTCATCCACCAGATGGGTCACTAGATCATAGAAGGAGATCAGGTTGGTCAAACAGGACCTGCCCTTCACGAACCCATGCTGGCTAGGCCTGATCCCCCGGTCACCCTGCACATGCCGCATGATCTCCCTCAAGACAATCTGCTCCATAACCTTCCCTGGCACCGAGGTCAGGCTGACAGGCCTGTAGTTCCCCGGATCCTCCTTACGACCTTTCTTATAAATGGGAGTCACACTGGCAAGCCTCCAGTCTTCTGGGACCTCACCAGTCAGCAAGGAGTGCTGACAGATGATGGAAAGCGGCTCGGCTATCACCTCCGCCAGTTCCCTCAGCACTCTCGGGTGGATCTCATCTGGCCCCATCGACTTGTGACAGTCCAGCTGGAGCAGTAGGTCTCTGACTGTTTCTTTCAGAATCACAGGGGGGTTAGTGTGCTCCCCAGCTGAGATTACCAGGTCAGAGAGAGGAGTGTCCTGAGGATAACTGGTCTGACTTTTAAAGACAGACGTAAAGAAGGTATTCAGAACCTCTGCCTTTTCCTTATCCTCAGTGGTCACATTCCCAGCCTCATCCAGCAAAGAGTGGATATTCTCCTTTGTCCTCCTCTTACTGTTAATGTATTTATAAAAGAGTTTCTTATTCCTTTTCACACCAGTGGCTAGGTTAAATTCAAGCTGGGCTTTTGCCTTTCTTTTTTTAGGATCCCTAAACTCTTCTCTGCAGAGCTCTCTTCCAGCAGGTCAACCCCTAACCTGTACTGATGTGCCTAAGCAACCATAAATCAAAGCTGTTTTCACCCTGACCAAGCAGCACCAGAAGCAGGAATTCTCCAGATAGCCTTGCATGATCTCCTCAGAACCAAAACCCTCCGTGAATGGTAACAGACTTCTGCCGCCCCAGGGCATGCTTGCTATTAGGTCCCCATGAACGTCTCATGAGAGAAAGGAGCCGCTCCCACCTCCTCCGATAGGACTACAGCCCCCATGGTGCACTGCGCCGCTCAAAGCACGCTGCGCAGCCCGCGCAAAGCACGCTGGGAGCCCCGAACAGTCGCTATCCGCCGAACGGCTCCACCTGGTGAGGCCCGCGCATGCGTGAAGCGGCACCGGCGCGATCTTTTTCCTCCCCCCCGTCCCGCTCTTTGCTACTGATTTGCACCCCCTTCTTCGGGATCCGCAGCCAGGTCAGCGTCACGCTGGGCGCTGCGCAAAGCCACAGGTACGCACCTGCTCCTGCAGAGGTACTGGCGCATCCACAGCCTTCTCCCGGTCGCTCAGGAGCAGCGGCGGCAGCGTCGCCACCCCTCTGGTCGGGACTTATGTGGCGCCCCCGGAAGTGTGGCGGGCAGGGTGGGGGCGGGGGCAGGCCGCCGCGGAGGGCGGGGCGGCGGCGGCGGCTCTTCAATGGATCGCGGGGGCGCGAGCTGCGCCGCGGGCAGGTGAGGCGGCGGTTGCTAGGTGTTGCGGGGCGGCGACGGCGACGGCCGGGCCGGGAATTTGAAGGTTAGCGGTTCTCACCGGGACCTCGCGTGGCCGGGACTGCGGGGGGTTAACGGACTGAAGAGACGGACGGTGGCAGGAGGGATTGGGCCCCACTGTGTGCGGCGGGCGCGGCTCTGCGGAGCACGGTGAGGCCGCCTCGGCGGCGGGTGGGGCTCCGAGCGCAGTGCTGCGTGCGGGGCGGCGGTGTGTCTCCCGAGCGAGCCCGGAAACCGCTGTGAGTGCGGCGCAGGGCTCGGGCAGGGCGGGTTGCCGTTCCCTCGGCACCTTGCGGCGCGGCCGCGCTCGCAGGGAGCTGATGTGCGGGTGAGGCGGAGGTAGAGAGCCCGCGTCACGCTGCGCTTTGTCCTGGTGAGCGGCGGCGATCGCGCAGCGCGCTGCCCATCTGCACGAGCGCTGCTGTGTGAAACTGCTTTTGGCGCTGAAGCTCCGTGCTCCTGGTGGCTGTGCCGAGAGCGGAGCCTCAGGGAGTTGCACCTGCTGCAGCCTTGGTGCTGAGCTTTTTCCCCTTCGCAAGCAGTTGGTTGTCTAAACGAAGTCATGTGCTCTTTGTGAGGGTATGGAAAAGCTTTTTTGACAGGCTTGAGTGGGATCTCTAAAGAAAGACTGTCTTTCTTGGAACGTTCAAAGTTGGCACGAGTGTAGAGGTATTCTTGTGATGTGTTTAACAAGATTTGTCGTGGAAATGAACTTGGAAGTCAAAGGACAAAAAGGTTATCTGCTCTGTGGCTGTGCAGGACTCTTGTGCCTAATATAACTTTGTTTACCTGCTTAAAAAATACTACCCCTCTATCTTGAAGGGATGACAGTGATATTTACCAGAAAGCTTTTTTTAGCCTTCTAAGGCAGTTCAGACACTTGTTTTGAAGTATTGCAATATCACTTTCTAGTTTACACTCTCCATGCTGAAGGGCTGTAGGCTGCCCAGCTGTAAGTGCAGTGCGTAGAATGGCTCAGCTTAAAACTTGGAGTGAGTTTTAGCAGACTCATTGCAGATGGAGAAAAGTCACACTTTTGGTGGATGAGATGTTAGGAAAGCATCATTTTTCTCAGTAATGAAAGTTGTAAGGGGAAAATACTTGTTTTGAACAGGTTTTTCATGTTGTTTGGTGATTCTGAGTGTCTGGAAATTCTTTGCCTAGAAAACTGCAGTTACTAGGGAGGAGAGTAAACATCGGGAGGTCAGCCAGAAGGCTGATGCCTGCAAACTATAGCAATTGTGCTTTAAGACCAGAAATCTAATTCACCACCAACCTCAAAGGCATGTTTATTTCTCATCTGTAAGTTGGCTTTATGATAGTGTCCTGGTTCATATGGCACTGTGCAACTGTCAATTTTCAGTACATGATAAGAAGATGTATGCAACTGCTGTTATTTGGCTGGCCAACCTGCACAGCACTTCCAGAAATGTCAGTGCTCTTCTAAGTAGCACTGTCCAGAGCTGCTCCCAATGGGAAACACTGTTAAGATGGTTGTTCATGGATTCCTGTAGGCATCTCACTGGGGAGGTATTGCACATCAGGTACCTCCTGCTTGAAATCTGAAGCATTGAGCCTTCAACACTAAGAAGGAGACCTTAGCTTCAAGAGAAACTTCAGGTGAAGTTGTTTTATGGCAGCTTAATGATCAGAGCATTTGGATGGAACAGGTCGAAGCACTGTGTTCCCTCCTGTCTTGGTGGTTTTGAGTCCCAGTTTTCTGTTTATTGGAAGAATGTTTTTACCTTCTCCCTCCCAGCCTCCATGATTCTGTAACCACTGAGCTGAAAAAAAATGTGTGTAAAAGCACCTATACTCTTCACAGCTAAAAATGGACTGCAGGTAACAACAGTACAGTAGTTATTTGGCCAGGGAGAACCTTTGGAGCACCTGGTTGAGGGAGGAAGGCTTCTGGCTCCTCTTCATTCAAGTGCATCTTCTGATCTCAGTAGCACTCAGTGGAGCGAAACTGAAAAATTGGTCAGTTTCAGTTGTGCAGTGGGAGCTGTTGTAATTTTTCTGGTGGTGTAATGCATCCTAAAACTTCCTGTTCATGACAACATGGTACCTCCTGGCCAAAGCAACAACAACAAAAAAAAAACCAAACAACAGGTGTTTGGAGAAAATTGATTACTTTAAAATAAATGTATATTGGCTTTTACGTAAGAAGTCAGATGGCACTAAAATAATGCATTGCAAAGGAGATCTGTAAGCTCTTAAATTTCGTTACTATTATGGGCATTTAGTGATGGAAGGTACACAAAATCATTCTAATTATTTAAAACTGTGCGCACAAATTTAAAATTAATAGACAAAAAGAGCAGTACTTGCATCACACGTTTTGACAGCTTGCTGAGCACTAGCAGTACAGTGCTCACTCCAGTGGCACACTACTTACTTTCTCCTTGCAGAACATATATTCTAGCAGAATATATACATGCAGAATGCATATTCTAGCAGAGGAACACTAAGACAAATAGACCTCAACAACAGTTAATAGGTATTCACCCAGTTTTCCTGTTTCCACTCTGCATGTTTCAACAGCTCAGGAATCCAGCCTTGGTATTTCCCAAATTTACTTAGACCACGAAGATTAGCATTCCAGGAAAAGCCAGCATCAAATCCACTCAACACAGCAGCAGTGGTCTGAACAGACATGTAAAAGAGGCTCAGTATTAACAGCTATGTTATGAATACTAATAAAAGCACAGACAAGTCCTTTAAAAGAGAAAGTAAAGCATTTAACTAACACCTCTTGGGTGTAGTGACTCCTATCAGAGAACAAATACTACCTTCACTGAATTCTGATGGATGGTAATGGAACAGAAATAGAATAAAAACACTTCTCGTCTGTTATCTCAAGGTAAAAAAAAAAAAAAAAAAAAAGCACACATCATACAAGAAATAGGTACCAAATGCTTATAAAATAGGAACCACTCAAACATACTTCTTTTGGGAATACCATGAAAACTACAGAACACTTTTGTGACATCTTAGCATTTAGCTGTACAAGTGTCACTGGTGCTCATCTGTTACATGTTGCTCATCATGTTTTATGTTCATTCTATACATAAAACAATAGAATTACAAATGGCTTGGGTTGGAAGGGACCCCAAGGATCACCAAACCACTAGAAATCCATTTTTTTTCATCCAACTCAAATTAAGCAGTGAAAACCTGAACAGTTTCCATACCAGTTTTCCAGGTTGTCTCAGTAAGGTGTCAAAAGACTTCTTCCTGTTACAGCTGTTGCAACTACCGTTTGCATTAACAGCATTAACAACAGCAAAAACATTTGCCTTACTGTAGCTAAAAAGCATTTTGTCTGTTTAGAACTTCAATTCTGCAACCCAATTTAAGGCACAAAAAAAACACAGAAGGCGGTTGGTTTGTTGGGTTACTGGTGGTGTAGAAAGTACAGTAGGGGGTAGCAGAAGTGAGATGGAAAGGAGAACAAACTGGTAGTCATCTGCATTCTAAGAGCTGACAGCACTGATATGGGATCTGCAGGGGTAAGAGCCTAAGCACTTCAAAAATCTGCCAAAAAACAGTGACACAATGAGAATTATAGTAAAAAGGCAATTCTTCAGCTTCTCTGTTAGTTGCTTTTAGTAAGCCAATTGGTTGTACCCAAAAGCCTAGCAGAGTTCTCTGTCAGGTTAGAAGCCATAACTGATGTTACAGACAGCTGTGAATGTGCCAAAGTCTTTGCTTAAAGGAACACCACAAATATTTTGAGCAGTGTTCCAAAAGCATTCTTGCTTCAGGTGCCTTCTCCAAACAGCAATGAAACACCTCTCTGACAGTGCTTCTGAGGTAGCTGGGACTATTTCAGAAGAGAGTTCCATCCTTTTGCTCTGCCATTGTTGTTTCTACATGGTATACAATTTGAGAAACAGCAATAGTAAAATTATTACACAGTAGTTTCTGCATTTTTTTTTCTTCCTATCTCAGCTAACTATAGATGTGTTGGAAGGCTTCTGTAAATTATTCGCTGTATTCACAGTTAGTTACGCTCAGATTTCTCTTTCCATGTTACTTTCCTTGGACTCTTGTTACTTTACACACCATGGGAATGGAGTAAACTCCTCTGTTTTTACTGTAGCCAAAGTATTTGAAGGGAAAGAGTTTCAATTCCAGTCTTTTAAAGCATTTATTCTGAATATAAATTATTTATATCCCAACCCAATTTTATGCTAACGAGAATGGCCTGCATCATCTGCTGTCTGTAAGATAAGCTGCTATCCATCAGTAGTCAGAATGCCAATTTATATGCAATTCAGTGAGTCCATGAAGTAATTTGCAAGAGCATCAATAGCTTTTTTTAATCTTTTGTCTTTGGTCCTAGTTTTACAAACTGTGTGGAAGCTTTGGGGTCCAGTGGCAATAGTAGATGGCAATTAAGTAACCTACAACTGGATAGCTTATGAGCGAAATTGATTCCAAGATTTCTTTCACTTGTGTATGCTCTCCTTAAGATTGCAAGCTGCCCTTCATAAAAATCATAGAATGGCCTGGCTTGAAAAGGGCAATAATGATCATCCAGTTGCAACCCCTTGCTGTGTGCAGGGTTACCAACCACTAGACCAGGCTGCCCAGAGCCGCATCACATGCATTCTCTTATCTTTTCAGCTAGGAAGTAATCTGTATTTTGAGCTGGTGTTCATATAGCTGTGCCCAATTACTTCTGAAAATTTTATCTCTCTTTCCCTGAAGAGAAACGAGAACAGCAGTTGAAGCTCTGCCAGTTTTCATGGCATTTTATATTTTTCCAAGTTGCACATTTTATGTATTTGGGATAGGAAAACATCTGTATTCCTAAGAAAAAAAACATGGGCTTTAAAGTCATCGTTTCCTTCCCTCTAGACTTACAGACTTTCTGCAGTAATGTTGAATATAAACTTTTCCACAAGAGTTGGAGGAACTTGTGCAGTTGGAAACTATGTGATGACTAAAAGAGTTCTCCAAACTAGTGTCTCTGAAGTCTTGGTAGAATGCTGCATTGGACACATGGGTGCAGAAAGGTAGATTTATGCCTTACAGGATAGTTGTTAAAAGATACCAGTTGTGGAAAAGGCACCACCTTCAGAGGGGTGGACAATGCAGCTTACCTTGCAGAAAATGTTAACTCCAAAGAGAGTAGGGTGGCTGCCCAAAGTCTGCTTTCTGCGAAGCTCTGCTTGGCAGGTTTACTTCCTGCCATTGAAACCAGCAACTGCTCTCCAGATTCTGAAGAATGTAGAAACGCACTAAGTTTCAGATCTGCTGACAAGTTTAGTTTTGTGATTTGTCGACAAACGTGCTTTCTCTTCAGTATTTATTTTAGGTACCTGCTTTGGGAAGTGATCTTTTCAGATTGGAGAAATCTGGCTAAAAATCCTCATGAAGTAACTAGTTGTGAATTGCTTGACTGCACAGCTTCTAGTGCTGTTGCAGTGTGCACTGCAGGAATATGTAGGGAAGAGAAAGCCTACCTTTTCTGATGACCTTCTTCTTATCTGCTTCAAGTGAATGTTTTTCCTTCTTTAGTAAATTTTTCAATCTTAAGGTTTCCTCATGAGACATTTGTTTCAAAATTACATTGTCTGGCTAGGGAGAGGGAAACAGACAAAACTGCTCCAAGGGGAACTCTTAAACTTATTTTTCAGGCTCTACCAGGTGGAGATGTTTTGTTTTGTCAATCTTTAATGCTATTTCAAAATTTGTATTACTTGCCTGTATCTGTTGGCAATAACCTTTGCCTTTCTGAAGCTTGCTGGAATTATGATTTAGACACCTTGTTTTCTCCACCTTTTTGTAAACAAGGTTGATTTCTTGAAACCTAATTTCTAACTCTCACAGGAGCAAGGTGATGCCAGGTGTTTGAAGTTTTGTTTTGTTGCTTGAAGGACAGATAGGTACAGTTTAGCAGGATAAGAGAAAATAATCTTTTATCAATGAAATTGAAAGAGCCTTTTGTCAGTCTGGATCCTTACGTAACTGCTGTTCAAATCTCAGCTTCAGAGTCTGAAACAGCTGTTTTGTTTGTCCATGCTTAACCTATTGCTCCCTCACAGATCCTTTCTGGGTAACTTTTGCTCCATTTACCACCCTCTTTCTGAGGAAGCTGAATGGCTGACCACTGTTGGAATTTACTATTGCTTCACATGGTTCATGGAACAGTTATTTTGACAGATATTTAAAGATAAATTCAGTTCTGCTGAGACATCATTATTGAATGGCACATAATGATCTGTGTAATGGGCAGTCTAAAGCATCAGATCAGCTTCTGAACAACTGCTTTATTAATATCCTAAATAACTGTAGTAGATTATAATTAATGGCATAGAGCTGTGCACAGCTTACAGCAAGAAGAGAATTAGCAATTAATATGTCAGAAGGCTGGATGCTGGGTTGTTGTTTCTGTAGCCAACTTACTTGGTCAAGAATTTATTTTCATGTGACTATTGGAAAGTTACAGAGTGCTGTCTTCACTGTACAGTGCTGCATCAAAGTGCTTCTGGTAGAAGGCAGTGGTAGTGCATACCTCTAAATAATAGCTTCCAATGTGAAAATGAAACAGTGTTTTGCTGGAAATAAATATGCACGTAATATCAAGGTAGCACATTTTGTTTTTAATCTGATGATCTGCTTTAGAATGGTTTGACTGGCAGTTTTACTTCTTTCAGATGGGATTTTATTTGCTTGCTGTTTCATTTGATCAGGAAACTTTGGGGGAAAACAGCTGACAGAGTTAGAAATATTACGATGAAAGAACAAAAATATTTAACATATGGTCTCAACTTTACTCTTCTGAAGTTAGGAGAAAATGCAACTGACGGCTTTACTTTCCTGAGTTATATTGTCTGTTTTTAAAATGTTGGTCAGTAGTTTGAAAATCTCTGGAAGGTATTTCCAAAATACTTTTTCTCTAAAGACATGAGTAAAAGCAAACCCTGTGCTTTGTAGCATTTCCTTTATTATGTTTTCCTCAGTGGTATATAAATGTTCAAATGCTTTTTATAAGTGAGAGGTTTATTTTTGTGTATCTTTATCAAGTGTGTGAGTTTGTTTATTTGGATTTTTTTTTTCTTTTTTGTAGGTTCAGAAGCAGTACCATCTCAGGGAAGCAGTAGCCTGTTGTGGGTCTCCTGAAGCAATAACTTAAACCAATAATAAGCAGATGATACCAGGTTAATGGTGTTTGGTTCATGTCACAGTGCCATCACTGTGGCAACACCGCTCAACAGCATCAACAAGCCAGGGACTTCTACACTCCCAAGTCACTAGGAAACATGCCCAGCATCTCAGCTGCCAAAGTGACTGCAGTCTCAACATAAATATCTGTAGATCTCTTAGCCATGTCTGTTAGTGCAACAGAGAATGATCCTCCTAGATTCTTCGTTGGTGGAGAAGATGGAGAAGAACTGTTGGATTCAGCCAGATCTACGGATTGTGAACATTTCTATGACCATGGGGAAGAAGAGGAGGAAGAATATGACTCGGTTTGTACTGTAATGTGTGTTATTTGTATGCTCTCTAGCATTGTTTTACTTTGAGATGATGTTAGATTACAAAAATGTAATACTGAGGTGATGTTCTGAATGGGGAAATAATGTTCATAGTCAATGATCTTGTTACTTATGTTTGGAAATGTGGCACACTTGGGAAATAAATGTACCTTGAATTTAGAAGTAGATGTACTTCACCTTATTGCAGTTTCAGATCAGCTGAGCTTTGCAGGCCTGATTAAGCCTCTGTTATTGAGCTTGATGGCCTAAACTTTCATTATATTTATTTGTACAATTAGTTGCAAAAAAAATATGGATAATTTTTCTTTAGTGTATGTTGTCAACTGATGCAGTGTCCTTTTATCTTCAGTTTGAACAGACTTCATATCTCTTTCTTCATCATATTGTTTTCATTAAGACCAAATATGCCTTTATTTTTGTTTCTTGTCTTGGTATATAGAAAGTGTACGGTTAAGGTTAATCTTACGTTATGGCTTAGTACGCTCTGCAAGTTTAATGAAATGAGTTGTATGACCAGGTCTTTGTCCAACTCTTAACTTTATCATGAGTTGCCATATTATGGGATTTTTAGCTGAATTTTACTATTTTTTTACTCTATAACATTCCACTTCGGGAAATGTGATATTAAATTTTCACTGACTGCAAGCGTGTCTAGGAAGTTTGAAAGCAAAGAAATGTTAACACAACATTTGACAGTGATTAAGCTTAACTGGGGAGTGCCATGAAGTACTGCAAGATTCGTAGCTCAGACTGTTCAGTGCAATCAGTGTACTTTAAAGGAAAGGTAATTTCCTACCTTTTAAAGAGCTTTCATTTGACATAAAAGGTTTTTGTACTTAGTCTATTTCTCTCTTTTAAAACAAATAAATACATTGGCTGTTCTTTTATGAATACCACCAGCGAAGGTTGTTTTTATTTTTTGTTTTTTTTTTAAAGCCTCACAACATGAAATAAAACAGACTATAAAGAAGAAGTGCATAGACAGCTTCATTCTGAAATATAGACTAGTAATTCTTAGCTTTAATTTCCTTTCTTATTAGGTAATGAGCTGAGAGGCCTTGTGACTATGAGATTTATAAATATTAAACAGTTTAAAAACAAATTGCTGGTTAATTTCACAGGAAGTTATAGCACAATTTAATTTCTAGGCACATTTTTCATAAGGATGCAGAGAGACATGCTGTCTTATTGCAATGTTGTCTTCTAGTAAAAGCGAGCTTAGAGGTAGTAAGTGAATTTTATCAGAAGATGCCTTCTCTAAAATTGTGCTGCTCTAACACAATTGCATTCTGAGAAAACCCAATATTTTTTCCCCTTCTCTTCAGCCACCAGAAAGACAGATTGCAGTTGGAATTTGTTCAATGGCCAAGAAATCAAAGTCTAAACCAATGAAAGAAATTCTTGAACGTCTCTCCATGTTTAAGTACATTACTGTTGTAATATTTGAGGAAGATGTTATTTTGAATGAGCCAGTAGAAAACTGGCCATTATGTGACTGTCTCATTTCTTTCCATTCTAAAGGTAAATATTTTAATGATACCATAAAAATTTTTGACATCTAAATACTTTGTTCCTAACTGTTGTTGTTGCTGGGTTTTTTTGCCTGTCAAAATCAGTAGGTTATCCTAGGAGTTGATTACTTCTGTCTTTTTAAACATCAGTTATATTACTAATTGATGCTGTTTTAATTCCTTGAGAAAGTACTGTCCGATGTGGTATTTTAAAGTAGCTATTCTTTTTGTGAAACCAGTGGAAATGATAAGGAGTGTTAGACCAATGCTTACTTTGTCTATTAATTCTCAATGCATGTTCTTCTCTCTGTGGCGTGTTGGCTCTCTTGAGTTCATCTATCTGTGTTAATATTTGCCTTTTTTTTTGTGGGTTTGTGCAGTGAGCCTGAGATGACCAAGTGAAAGTTTAAATTTTATTTTATTTTATTTTTGATTAGGCTAAAGTAATAGAAGCCTTAGTTCTGGCTCTAAGAAAATAGAGGGAGTCTGGAGGAGGGAATAGAAGTCAAAATCTCTGCTTTTACCAGTCTACACTGAAATCAGGATACAGTTTTGTGATCATCTTAAGGAAATGTTAGTGTTATCTGTAGCTGAGGGAGGAACCATACCCCCTTTTATGCCATAAGATTTCTAACTAAAGCTTGAAAAAATAATATTCCAAACTGTTTACTGGTGTTTTGTCTTGTAGTTTTAACTTATTTCTTAATAATGTTTTAGGATTTCCACTGGACAAAGCAGTTGCCTATGCAAAACTCAGGAATCCATTCATAATCAATGACTTGAATATGCAGTATCGCATACAAGACAGGTAAGCAGCGATTACCTCTAAAAGTACATTTCTAAGTTAGAATATGAGGATTTGTTGGCATTGCATAACACTGCTTCTAATGTACTGCACAGTGGAACAAATAAAAGCACAGTTAATTTTGTTTTCCTAATATGCTAATAGTTTTCAGTGATATGCATTTAGATGTTCTTTTTCTTTTAATACTTTTATTTTGGTACTCTGAAGGTTACCAAGGTTGTAATTGAGTAAAGTGTTAGTTTAATGTCTAGCAAATGTGAAACTTAAGCTTTGGAAAAACTAAGTGTAGCATAGATACTGATAGCAACAATACAACCCTCCATAGGTAGCTTACTTAAGGAATTTTTTTTTTTTTAATGTTCCATGGGAACTTCTGGGAGTTGTTAATATTAGGAGACTGTGTGGTCATTCAGAGTCAGTTTTCTTCTGGGGCTTTGATCATGCACAGCAAATAGTAACAAAACAATAGCAAACAAAGTACATTAACACTGGACACTTTGGACATTGTGTGGAGTTGCTATTTTAGATGCCTTTATTTGTTGTCATGCATAAACGTTTTCAGTCTCTGTTCGTGTCTTTGACAAGAGAGCTATTAAAATTGTTTCTCTTGTCAGAGTGGAGAGGACAAGACTGGCACAGCAAATGGCATTCTTACTGCTACTGATGTGGTCACCACAAAGGAACCATTGTGTCAGTGACCTTTAAAATATGCAGAAGTATAGTATTAAATATATAATAGTAGTATGTTCACTGTGTAGTGGTGTTTTTTTTTGTTTTTTTTTTTGTTTGTTTTTTGTTTTTAGAAAACAGTTGTATGTATTTTCCTGCTCCCTTTCTCATGGTCTATAAGAATTCAAATACTGTCAGGTTTTGCTTTCATGCTTTGTAACCTTTTTCTTCTAGGAGAGAAGTGTATGGTATTCTTAAAGCTGAAGGCATTTTACTTCCTCGTTACGCAGTTCTGAACCGTGATCCAAACAATCCACAAGGTAAAAACTGATTACAAAACTGTTAACTAATGGCATCTCTTTGTTTCCATTGGCGAGTGGTGGATACATAGCAGGAAGCTATTTCACTTCCTGGAAGATTAATTCAGTGCCTCAGAAATTTCTTATGCAATGCTTAAGAGTTAACCCACAAACTTACTTTTGCTGCTTGCTGCCAGGGAAGTGTCAGAAACAGAAAAGGCATTGACACTGTGTAAGCCCTGTTCAGTCATACTTCAAACATGCATGTGTTTACAATACTTCTTTGATCACAAACCCAAGGCATAGCATTGTATGACTTCCTATGAAGTTCATTAGCTCTGTCCCCACCAAAACCGGTACAGGCATGCATCTGAAAAGTTGTGGTTCTGAATTACGGGTTCGCAGTCTTCTTTTAGCCTTCATAGACAAACTAGAATATGAAGACCTTCCAGCTTGCACGGAGACAAAAATGTGTCACTGTGGAGAGCAGTGTTCATGAACTTAACATTGCCCACAATAAACAATAATTTCAGTTAGGCACTGGCAGAAACTACTCAGGCTACTGAATGCTTTCCTTTGTAGAATAGAACGGATTAGTTTGGTTAGAAGGATGTACAAGGATCATCAGATCCAATTGCATGACCTCTTCAGGGCTAACCGGAAGTTGAATGAATTATCCAAATGTCTCTTGCACATGACAAAGCATGGAGCACGACACCTCACTAGGAGGCCTGCTGGACAACCCTCATGGTGAAGAATTTTTTCTGCGTGTGCACTCTGAGCCTCACCTGTTGCTACTTTGTGCCGTTCATGTGTGTCCTGTACCGATTACTGGGGAAGAGGAACTGACACTTCCCTTTGTGCTTCCCTTCCACGGCGGGCTGCAAAGAGCAATGATACTTTATCTCAGCCATCTTTTTTGCAAACTGGACAACCGAAGTGCCCTCAGCCTCTCTTTATGGGACGTGCCTTCCAGCCTTCTTATTAGTTTTGTTACCCTCCTCTGCTTACAAGGTCCTTAATGTCTTTTGTTTTATAGAGCCTGAAAATATGTGCGGTATTCAAGGTGTGGCAGCCCCAGTGCTAAATATAGCAGAAGAATCATCTCTTTCAACTGACTGACTGTGCTGTATTCAGTGCATTCCAAAATGCATTTTGCCTTCTTGGCTGTAAAAGCACGCTACTGGGTTTATGTTGAGCTGCTGTCAGCATCACCCCCAGGTCACTTTCTGCTGAGCTGTTTTCTAGAACTTGTCTCCCAGCTTCTACCCGTGTCTGGCATAACCTCATCTAAGCTGAAGAACTTGGCATTTTCCTGTGTTGAATTCCATTCCATTGCTGATTACCCAGTGTTCCAATCTATGTAAATTCCTCTTGTTCAGCCAGGGAATCAACAGCATCTTTTTGTTATCACTTGCAAACTTGCTGAGGACATATTCTATTCCTGTGTCCATATCATTGATAAAAATATTGAGCAGGACTGGCCCTGGAATTGAACCCTGGGGAACACTGCTGCTGTCCAGCCACTGAACAAGTATACAGTTTGAACTGTACCATTGAGCCAGGTCATTGCTCAGTGTAGTGTCCACCTGTCTTCAAAGCTGGACGGCTTTTACGGAAGGATGCTGTGTGGGTTGGTATCGAAGGTGTTACTGAAATAAAAAAAAGAGCACATCTGTCCCCTTCTTTATCATACAACCGTATCATAAGAGGAGATTAAGTTATTAAAGCAAGACTTTCTCTTCATGAGCAAATAAACAGATGTATAAGGGGAAAGTCAAATCTGCAGATAATGTGCTCTGAATATCAATTGCAAACAGCAAACAAAAAGATTCATCTATTGTATGTTGAGGTAGTTCTCAGCCTCTTGAAAATATTGCATCTAGCACTACAGTGTTTGCTGTTTGGCTGTCATACCTCTGATGTTTCAAAAAAGAGCTCTAAAGAAAAAACAAACAGCTGGGGGTGATTTCACACTGATGGGCAGCTCTGCTCTCTCATCCTTCCCCCTCAGCAGAAATGGGGAAAAAATATGATGAAAATAAAATGGTCATGGGATGAGATAAAAGTAGGGAGATTATACACTGTGTATAAGCATGTGCGAAACAGATGCAGTTTAGGGAGATTAATGTAATTTATTGCCTGTTGCTAGCAGACTAGTGCAGTGAGATCAGAATGCTTATTAAAAGCATTACCTACTTCTTCTGCCTCACACCGTTCCCTGGGCATTGCAGGGGAATGAGGGCTGTGGTCAGTCAGTCCATAACACTCCATCTCTGCCACTCTTACATGGTCCCTTTCTGTTGCTCCACTTAGATTCCTTCCAGAGCATGCCATCCTTCCCCGTCTGATTATGCGTGCGCTTCCCACAGCCTGCAGGTCTCCTGGCACAGCTCTGACACAGCTCTGTACCAGGGGCCCACCCTTTCAGGTGGTGGGGGGACCCTGTTGGAGCAGCTGGAGTGGTGCTGCTCTGAAACAGCTGGGCTCTGTGAGCACAGATCCCCCTCCAGCCCACTTTCCACCCCTATTACCAAAACCTTGCCACATTAGCCTAGTGCCCTATCTTAAAAACATTTTTTTATTATTATTTTATACATGCAAAATCTGGAGGGAAAATTTCCTGTGTGATGCCACAAAAATCTACAGAAAGCCTA